GAGCTATCCAGAATCCACATGAAAAAAAAAGTGAAAAAGGTACAACTGAACGTAACAACAGAAGAATAAGCCTGCAACACAGTGTGGAATGGGATGGTGTTGTGGTTTGTGGGTTAAGCCTTCAGCTATGACGCTGGCGTCCCACATAGGCGCTGGCTCCAGTCCCGGCTGCTGCACTTCCCAACCAGCTCCCTGCTGACGTGCCTGGGAAAGCAGGGGAGCATGGGCCAAGTGCTGGGCCTGCACCCTCTTGGGAGACCTGGGTGGAGCTCCTGGCTCCTGGCTCCTGGCTTCGGATCAGCTCACTCCGGCTGTTGCGGCCATTTGGGGAGTGGGCCAGCAGATGGAAAGCTTTCTGTCTGACTCTTCTTTAAAAAAAGAAAAGAGAAAGGTGGGGGTGGCGGGGAGAGAGGGAGGGAGACGTAAACAAACAAACAAAACAGAAGCAATGGAAATCGTTCTGTCCCTGGGTTGGGAGGTGCCTACCCCAGGCGGCCGGGGTCGGCCAGCTGCAGAGCTGGTGTGGAGCCCCAGTTCTCTCCGCAGCACCCAGCACGGGGCAGCACCTACCCCTGGGAGCCCTTTCTGGGGTCTCCGCAGCTCTGCGCACCCGGCACGGGGCAGCACCTACCCCTGGGAGCCCTTTCTGGGGTCTCCCCAGCTCTGCGCACCCGGCACGGGGCAGCACCTACCCCTGGGAGCCCTTTCTGGGGTCTCCACAGCTCTCTGTGCACCCGGCACGGGGCAGCACCTACCCCTGGGAGCCCTTTCTGGGGTCTCCCCAGCTCTGCGCACCCGGCACGGGGCAGCACTTACCCCTGGGAGCCTCCTGCCCCTTCCCTGAGGCTGTGCCCGTGGCCTCAGAGCGCTCACCAGAGCCTGTGGGATGGATGGAGAGGGTCCTCACCCCGTCCCCTTGTCTGCCGTGTGCACACACGTGGGTATCTGCAGTGCACCCTGTGTGCACACCTGAGTGTACACGTTCCCACACGTGCTTGTGCGTTTGCACACCCCTCCATGTATGTGTGTTCACACATCTCCAGGTGTGCAGCAGCCACACAGGCACAGCCATGCACTCATACACGGCCACGGTGTGCACCCGTTGCCTGCCACCCTGATGGCTCTGCGCACCTCCTAAGGGCAGGCGTGTGGACGGCTCGTCCACTGTGCGACAGGCCGCGAGAGGCTGGTGTGAAGGCGGGGTTGTTGCTGTTCCTGGTCTGGAGGCCTGAGTTTGAAGGTCACGGTGCGCGATGGGGTAGCCCCATGGATGGTCTAGGGCAACGCTGGGGAGCAGAGCCAAGGGCTCTCAGCTTTCATACCCGCCCTTCCTGACACCCAGGACCTCCCACTGGGCCCCGAGTCCCATCAGCTGTAACTGGGATTTAGCTGTCTGTTCCTCAGGACTGTGGGCTGAGCTGGTCGGGGACGTTGGGGCGTTGGGGTCTGCTTCCTCGCTCTTAGGGGCTGCGGCAGGGTTCTGTGTAGCTGTGTCCAGGTGGCCATGTCCTTCCACACTGCCCAGCAGGAGGCAGGTGGGCCGGGCCAGGGCTGCCCGGGGTGGGGTAGGTGAGAGGCAGCCCCAGGCCCCTGTGTTGCTCTCCAGGGTGTCTCCGGCTGTCCTGGTGTTCTGTGCCCGTTTTCCAAGTGAAACTAGAAGAGCGCATTGCTCAGGAATCTCGACGAGGCGCTGACAAGACGGGGCAGACCCTGCACCAGGCAGGCCGCGTCCGCGCTGCCAAGGGCGGGGCAGTTCCTGAGGGCGGCCAGACCCTGGGCCCCAGCTTGCTGAGAGGAGTGAGGTGGGCGGGGGTTGTCTGGTCTACCCCCCGACCCCGCTCCCTGACGTCTCCAGGCTGGTCAGGAGGGGGGGTTCCCACTGTTGGCCCCTCCTGGCTATCCATGGAAGGGTCCCTTGCTGTCCACTGCTGCTCCCTCAGAGCTTGCTCCCTGCTGGGACAGCAACATGGACACCCAAGGGGCACCTCCGGGGCCTGAAGGCCAAGGCGACGTCCTGCCCAGGAGGCACAGGGTCCCCATGTCCCCACATGCAGGTCACAGTGCCGATGGGGTAGCCCATGGATGGGGTTACACATGCAGAAGCTGCTATGGGGGTCCGTGTGTCCTGTGTGCCCCCGTCAGTGGGTTCCTCATGTCAGGCACCATGAGCCCACCACACGGGGACACCTGGTGGCTACTCCAGGAGTGACCGAGTATCCAGAGCCTGCAGGGAGAGGGGTCCCGTTAATCACATTCATGCCAGTGTGTTTGGGGCATGTCTGAGACTGCCCAGCACTGGGACAGCTGGACACAGGGGTGAGGAGAGAGCTGTGGATAATATACAGGTGTGTGAGGACACAGCTGTGGACAGCACCCGGGGGAGCTCTGCCCTTTGCAGGTTCCTGGCTGCTCCAGGCGCGGCTGTGACACCCACACCCCTCTCCCCAAGGCCTGGAGTGACGCCACGGGTGACCGTGTCAGGATCTGCTGCAGGATGGCGAAGTGCAGTATAAGCACGCCTGTGGGCACATGTAGAGCTGTGTGTGAGCAGGACTGTGTGTGAGGGTCACGTGTGGGCACATGTAGAGCTGTGTGTGTCAGGACTGTGAGAGGGTCACGTGTCGGCACATGTAGAGCTGTGTGTGAGCAGGACTGTGTGTGAGGGTCACGTGTGGGCACATGTAGAGCTGTGTGTGAGCAGGACTGTGTGTGAGGGTCACGTGTCGGCACATGTAGAGCTGTGTGTCAGGAGTGTGTGAGGGTCACGTGTGGGCACATGTAGAGCTGTGTGTGAGCAGGACTGTGTGTGAGGGTCACGTGTGGGCACATGTAGAGCTGTGTGTCAGGACTGTGTGTGAGGGTCACGTGTGGGCACATGTAGAGCTGTGTGTGAGCAGGACTGTGTGTGAGGGTCACGTGTCGGCACATGTAGAGCTGTGTGTCAGGACTGTGTGTGAGGGTCACGTGTGGGCACATGTAGAGCTGTGTGTGAGCAGGACTGTGTGTGAGGGTCACGTGTGGGCACATGTAGAGCTGTGTGTGTCAGGACTGTGTGAGGGTCACATGTCGGCACATGTAGAGCTGTGTGTGTCAGGACTGTGTGTGAGGGTCACGTGTGGGCACATGTAGAGCTGTGTGTCAGGACTGTGTGTGAGGGTCACGTGTGGGCACATGTAGAGCTGTGTGTGTCAGGACTGTGTGTGTGAGGGTCACGTGTGGGCACATGTAGAGCTGTGTGTGTCAGGACTGTGTGTGTGAGGGTCACGTGTCGGCACATGTAGATCTGTGTGTCAGGACTGTGTGTGAGGGTCACGTGTCGGCACATGTAGATCTGTGTGTCAGGACTGTGTGTGAGGGTCACGTGTGGGCACATGTAGAGCTGTGTGTCAGGACTGTGTGTGAGGGTCACGTGTGGGCACATGTAGAGCTGTGTGTGAGCAGGACTGTGTGTGAGGGTCACGTGTGGGCACATGTAGAGCTGTGTGTCAGGAGTGTGTGTGTGAGGGTCACGTGTGGGCACATGTAGAGCTGTGTGTGTCAGGACTGTGTGAGGGTCACGTGTGTTGAGGGGCACAGTTAACATCGTGTGTGGGTGATTGGAATCACACCTGTGATGGTCACGTGTATGTGAAGTGGGGTGTGGGCCGTGGATTTGCCCACCTCTCCTGGGCTCAGGCTGGGCAGCCTGTATGTGTATGTGTGTGTGTGTGTGTTCATGTGTGAGGTGGGGCATGGTCTATGTTCGCCCACCTCTCCTGGGCTCAGGCTGGGCAGCCTGTATGTGTGTGTATGTGTGTGTTCATGTGTGAGGTGGGGTGTGGGCCGTGGATTCGCCCACCTCTCCTGGGCTCAGGCTGGGCAGTCTGCCATAGGTGGGCACAGGCCCTTCATTGGTGGGAAAGCTGCTGGAGCACCAGGCCCTGGCATCTCTCGGTCAGTGTCGGGGCTACCATTGGGCAAGTGGCACTGGCCGCCACCCCTGCTGGTATCCATTCCTGCTGCTGGCACTTGTGGCTCTGCAATGGCCTCTCCCAGTTCAGGGGACTCCGCACGTGAGGTCCCCCCACAGTGGACTCAGTCGCCAGGCGTGGGATTCCCCCGTCCCGGACACTCTTGGTTGTCTCCAGGGCCCCAGAGGACCTGAGTGTCCCCAGAGGTCCAGTCCTTCACCTGGGCTTGGTGGCCCCACAGGCAAATCTGTCCTGCTCCTTGTTAGACCAGTGCCTCGGCCCAAGCCAGCAGGAAGCAGTGTAGCCCTCCAGGCTGGCCACCCTCTGGGGCTAGCTCGTGTCCTGGGGTGGGAGTGGGCGCCTGACCTAGAGCCAGGCAGCTGCATCTTTGGGGTGGATGCCCAACAGAACCCCTGTCGGCCTCTGCCTGGGGGCCCCAGGGTGCGAGGGGCAGGGCTCAGCAGTGCAGCCGGCCAGTGCTGCCCAGGGCTGGGACGGCAGACCTCTGGTCCCCGAGGAGCCTTCCTGGGGTAGACTCAGCCCCAGCACAGAGGGAGGACTCTGGGGGAGCTGGGCAGGGGGCACGCGTGTCAGTGACCGTGGGACAGTCTGGGACCCCACAGGGGTGCCACAGAACCTGGCCTCTGGTACCACCCTGTCCTTGGCGACAAAAGTTACCGCTAGTTTTATGTGGGGAGGGGGTGCAGTCTGCACTGGCCGCACCCTGCTGTCCTGCCCGGAGCCGGGTTGAGGGGAGGGAAGGCTGCGTAAGGGGCTGCAGGAGATTTGCTGGCTGCTCAGTGGGGGGAGCGTGTGTGGCCCCTGCAAGCTCAGGAGGAGGAGGACAGCCCATCCCTCAAACCCTGGGCGAGCTGGGAGCCAGGGAAGGTGTGGAAGGTCTTATTCCTGCCTCCTGCCAGGGAGAAGGTGGAGGAGGAGGGCCGGGCTGGAAGCAGGGAGGGGTGGAGCCCAGCGGCCGGGGCGGAGCCCAGCAGCCCCGCCTTCGGAAGGCGGTAGGCGCCCTGGGCGGCCTGGCCTCTCACTGCCCCGATGGCTCCCGACCCCAGCGGCCGCCTGGGCCTGCTGCTGCTGTTGGCCTGCTGCGTGCCGATCGCCTGGGCCCAGATCCTGAATTGGATATGGCCCGGCGAGAAGCTCAGCCCCATATCCAAGTGGGTCCTCAAGCCCCACGACAGCCCCGTGGAGCCCACGCTGGGACTCACCACGCACGTGGACCTGGGGCATGGCTCCACGGAACCCGAGGCCAGCCGGAGCCCAGCGCCTGCCGACGCCACCCCCGACGCCATCCTGGCCACGAGCCCAGGCACGACCAAGGAAGAAAATGTCGCTGGAGTCGGAGCCCAGATCCTGAACGTGGCTGCGAGCATCCGGAGCTTCGTCCAGCTGTGGGATGAGGCTGCCCCCACTGAGAGTGCTGCTGCGGTGGCCACGCTGGCTACTGCGGCTTTTACAGACCCCCTCACCCTCCCAAGGCCACCTGATGAGCCCCCGGAGCACAGAGACACTCTTGGGCCCAGCACTGCAGCCCCGGACGCCCTGACGACCACCGCTGACGTGCTGGCACCCACCGCACCACTTGCCTCCTCTGGACAGCCCCGGGCATCATTGGGGGTGTCCCCAGGTAGAACCGCTCTGTCTTCTCCGCCTGGTGGGGCCCCTCCCTGGGGAAGTCCCATGCCCCTGAGGCAGCTGCAGGATCTGCACAGCAGCAGAGGACCCCGGCCCACGGCAGCCGCCCCCCGTCGGCAGCAGTCGGAGCAACTTGGTGGCGGCCGTCGAGCACTGCGCCTGCTTCCCCTGGTGCTGGGTCTCCCGGGTGCGCACGTGGCCCCTGCTGCTCCTACCCCCGACCTCCTGGCCTCGCCTGCTCTCGCTGCGGCCCCAGCTTTCATCGGTGATGGTGGCGGTGGGCCCTGGGTTTCCCACATGGCTAATGACTCTGCCCGCTGCCTGCCCCTGCCGCCTGCCCTGCCCATGTGCGGCCACCTGGGTATCGGGCACACCTGGCTGCCCAACCACCTGCGGCATGGGCGTGGCGAGGAGGTGCAGGCCGCGGTACAGGCCTGGGGGGCCCTTCTGCTGTCCCGTTGCCACCCTTTCCTCGCCTGGTTCTTCTGCCTGCTGCTGGCACCCCCATGCAGCCTGGGCCCACCACCCGGGCCCCCGCCGTGCCGCCAGTTCTGCGAGGCTGTGGAGGACGCCTGCTGGAGCCGCCTGGACGGGGGCCGGCTGCCCGTCGCCTGCACCTCGCTACCTGCCCAGGAAGACGGGTACTGTGTGTTCATTGGGCCGGCTGCAGGTAACTGGCCGGCCGATGCCCTCCCCACCCTTCCTTTGTGCCTGGCCAGGTAAGCTGGACAGGGCCTGCCTGCCCCGAGCCGAGCTGGGCGAGAGCCCGAGGGAGGAGGCTGGGGCCAGGGGTGTTGGGTACGGGTGAGACCTCAGAATCTTCAGGGTGCCACCTGTGCCAGGTGCCCCCTGAGCATTCACTGCAGTGTGTTCCCCCCTTGTGCCCCTGCCAAGGTGGGGAAATGGGTACCGGTGCTGACAGGGCCCAGCCGTCTTCAAGGGGGTCCGGCCTGCTTGGGTTTGGGGAGGGGCCGCTAGCTGCCATGAAGGCCAGTGCCCGATTATGCTCAGGGCAGGAGGGGCCTCTGAGCTCTGCAGCTCAGGGCCAGCAGAGGGGCTTCAGTTCTGACCTCTTTGAGCTAGGGGCAGCTGGAACAGGCTCTGTCTCCACGTGGGTGCGTGAGGGCTGGGCCCGAGGCACTGGCCAGGCATGGGTGTCCTGCCCGCCTGGGGGGCAGCCGTCAGTCTGGGCTCGGGAGCGGGTGGTGGGGTGGAGTGTGTGCAGTGGCGATTGCGCGACTGGCGAGTCTCGGGCCAGGTGACCTGTTGCTCAGGGAAAGCCTGGTGCCTCCGCAGACCTGGGGTACAGCCTGTCAGCAGTGCCAGCCAGGGGGGAGAGGGACCAAGCCATGACAGGGAAGGGAAAGGAAGCTCTTGGGCTGGCATGAGGAGCAGGGGCATACCCAGGGTGTGTGAGTGTGTGATGGGGTGCCCAGCTTGTTCTGAGGCTCTCCTGTGTGCAGAAAGCAAGGGGGCCCCGTGGCTGTGCCCTGGGCGCCATGGGGGGGGCAGTCCTGGGAGCAACTTGACCCTGGGCCCCACATGGCCAGCCCACGTTGGCCCTGGTGCGACTGAGCCAGCGTCACCCCCACCCGGCCACAGCTGGCTGAGCCCGCCCTGCCCTCCTGCTGCCAAGTGTGTTGGGAGGGCAGCCACTCCCCGCCCAGCCCTGCCCACAGGCCCCCTGCTGCTTTTGAGGCGCTCCAGGGCCCTGCGGCAGAGGATCTGCTGTGTGGGGTGGGGTTGGCTCTGACGCCAGTGAGGCCCTGGCAGGGCTGTGGGGGCGGGAGCTCTCGGGCTGCAGCTGGACAGTTGGGCCATGTCCCCAGCAGGGTCCTGGGGGACCCTCCCATTGAGCTGACAGCCAGCACCCCTCAGACCAGAGGAGGGAGCTGGCTGCTGCCGGCCGGTGCCTGTCCCGTGTGTGGCTGGGCATGACTGGGCGTGCTGCCCTGGTACTCAGCCCTTCCACTCCTTGGGGTGAGCACCCCCATGTTGGACTGGATGCTCCAGGAGGAAGCAAACGGGTGGGACAGGAAGCATAGGGGTGGCGGTCAGGCCCAGGGAGGTCCTTGGGGTGCTTCCCCTGGCCTGGTCAGAGCCCCGGCCACTCCTGGCTGTCCTGCCACCTGGTCCCATGGACCCATGTCACCCGCTCATCTACACAGCTGCTCCTGCATGCCCCTCTCTCCCTGGGCTCTGCCCAGCCAGGCTTGCAGCCCACAGGAGGTGCGTGCAGTGGGGTCTGGGGCCAGCCGTGGGGGTGCACTTCGTGGTGACCAGGAGGGAGGTTGCCCTGGGGACCCTCTGCTGTGGCTGTGCCTGGTGTTGCACAGGTCCTGGGGACCTCGTGGCCTCTGCCTGTGTCCCTCAGGCCTGGGGGGCAGGGGCTGCATCCACCTGTCCCATGGTCAGGCCATCCCAGGAGCCCCGAGGGGCTGTCCAGTGGGGCTGTGCATGTCTGACCCCAGAGGCAGGTGCCCTGTTCACAGGTGAGGTCTGGGAGGCCAGTGGAGAAGCGCGGAACCCCCAGCCCGGCGTGCTGCCCTCGCTCCTGGTTGGTTGCTTAGGGTTGGCCATGTTGGTGAGGGTCACATCCTCGTCACTGCCCCGGCCAGGGGCTCTCTGCTCCCTGACTCATTCGTGTTAGCCTGAGTGTGTCAGAAAGTGTAGGCACCCTTGGTGGGCCCCAGTGAGCCCGGCATCTGCAGGAAGTGGACACTGCGCTTGGCCGAGGTTCCTTGTGGGGAAGTTTGGTGGTGCCAGCCGTGACTTCCTGTGGCTGCCATGTTGGGGGGCTGCTGGGTGTGTATAGGGTCTCCCCAGTGAGCCCTCAGACCAAAGTGGGGTCTTGGCCGGTGGCTGATGTCTCATCTCCACGCCCAGTTGGCCCACGTGTCTGTCCTTACCCTAGACCAGCTTCCTCCTGTGCTTTGCCTCTGCCAGCCCCGTGCCTGGCTCGTTGCTGTGGCTTGTGGCCTGTGCCACTGTGAGACAGGTTGCCACGTGCTGGAAGCCAGTGGTTCCCGTCCATGCCTGTGTCATGTGGCCGCCCAGGGATGCCAGGGCAGATTCTGTGTCTCGACTGCCTTGTGCTGCGTTGCACCAGGCGTGGCTGCGTGGGCAGGCCTGACGCCGCCCTTCTGGGTATGCACCGGGCGGCACAGCTGTGGGGCTGGCAGATCCTTGTATGCGAGTCCCAGCAACTTCCACACTGCTTTCCAGGAATGCCACACGGAGGGACACAGGGCCTGCCTGACACCGTCCAGCGCCACTAGCTCCTGCCCTCACATGTATGTTACATGTATGTGGCTCTGAGCTGCACTCCGTGGGACACTGAGCGCCTTCCCTCATTCGTGTTTTTGGGCACAGTGCTCGCTGAAACAGCAGAGCATGGGATGGGGGTGGGGAGCGTCTCCCATCTGCTTGCTGGGTCACTCCCCAAACTGCCAGCGGCCTGAGCTGGGCCGGTCCAAAGCCAGGAGCCAGGAGCTCCATGCAGGCCTGCCTGGTGCTCCCGGGCCAGCCTGCTGCTTTCCCAGGAATGTTAACAGGGAGCTGGCTGGGAAGTGCAGTGGCCAGGACTTGAACCGATAAGGAATGCCAGCACGGCATGGCCCCAGGGCCAGGCACTTTTCCGTGACTGCGTCTCTGTCTCTGGGGTCCACTCAGGCACTCGGCCCTTGTTCGAATGCGGCTTTGATGGTGTTCCTCCTGTATTTTGGGTGTTACTGCATTTTCAGATAAATGATTTGCAAAGACCATGTTCCCTTCTGCCTGCTGTAATAATTATTTTCTGACACTAAAATGCTTTCAGTTTCCATGAAAGTCAGTCTGATTTGGCCCCACCAGGAAATCCCACAAAGCTGACTTCGTTGAGCTTCTCTTCTGCAAGGCTGGGGTTCTCTGGGATTCCCCGTGTGTCTCGGGACAGGGTTTTCTGCATCTGCCAGAACACGGCCAGGTTCGGCTAGGCGTCCGGCACACTGCAGGTCTGCCTTGGCTGTCATCGCCTTGGTGACCTCCTCCTCGTGGCCTGGGTCAGGTGGCGTGTGGCTCCGTCTCTCAGGACACGTGTCCTCCTCGTGGCCTGGGTCAGGTGGCGTGTGGCTCCGTCTCCCAGGACACGTGTCCTCCTCGTGGCCTGGGTCAGGTGGCGTGTGGCTCCGTCTCTCAGGACACATGTCCCCTGGGTGATTTTCTCCTTCAGCCCACAGCACAGCCCCATGGCAGTTGTAATGTGGGGCCAGCTTCAGGCGTTGCCCCTCTGTTGTATGGCCAGTCCCGACCAGGACGTGTTCCTGCCTGCTGAGATCCAGTATGGGCCTAGCAAGAGGACGCACGGTGGGTCGGGCAGGTGGGCCAGGCGCAGTGTGTGCCAGGCATGTGGACACAAGAGCCTTTGCTGCTGGGTTAGGTAAGAGGTCCTTGAGTGTACCTGTGGCTGCGGCCAGGCAGGTTCATCTGAAGGCTGAGCCACACAGCCGTGTGTGGGGTCCCAGCACACAGGGCCTCCTTCCCTGTGGCTGCCATAAGCCCCTTGTCACCCCTGCCAGCCTGTTTTCCCGAGGGAGAGGTCCTAAGCCACCAGGTCTCTGTCTGGGCCAGCCGGGGGGTGTGGGCCAGCCGGGGCTGTGGGCCAGCGGGCCAGCTGGGGGCTGTGGGCCAGCCAGGGGGTGTGGGCCAGCTGGGGGCTGTGGGCCAGCCGGGGGCTGTGGGCCAGCCGGGGGGTGTGGGCCAGCCGGAGCTGTGGGCCAGCCGGGGGGTGTGGGCCAGCCGGAGCTGTGGGCCAGCGGGCCAGCCGGGGGGTGTGGGCCAGCCGGGGGGTGGCCCCCGTTCCCAGGAAGGCTGCATCCCCTGTAGTACAGCTGGGCCAGGCGGGCAGTGTGGGAGGTGGTGACGTCAGCGAGAGCCAGGATCCGGTGATCCGGTGACCCCAGTGGAGCCCGAGGAATGTGGTGGGGAGGAAGGAGCGGCTTGGGAAGAATCTCGGGGGACCTGGCTGGGGTCTGAGGCCAGGAGCCGGCAGCTGCAGCCTGCTGCTTCCTTCATCAGCTGGGGAGGGGGGTGGTGCCTGGCTGGTCACCCCAGAATGTCCCTGAGTGGGCCCTGGGCCCGTTCTTCCGATGGCCGGGACTCCTGTTGCGGGGGTGGTCGTGGTGCTGCGAGCAGGAAATGGCTAGCAGGGACAGTTCATCAGTGTGCTCTGACTGCAGCCTTCGGAAAGGCCGGGGGCCACGAGAGCCCTCACCTCCTCTTCCTGTCGGGTCCAGGGAGTTGCCAGTCACGCCCCCTTCCCGGCGCCCCGCAGAGCGAAGCTCCTGACACCGCCTGGCAGCTGGTCACCCCGTCCTCCCTGGCGCCCCACAGAGCAGAGCCCCAGATGCCAGCTGCCAGACTCTTAAGGAGCTTGAAGGACCATGGCTTATCTCAGAAGTCAGGGTTCCACTCCTTGCTCCCCATGAGCCTGGCCTGAGGCGGGGGCCCAGCCTGCGTGACTGTCCCAGGACCGCTGTGCATCTACATGCGTGTCTGTATGCGGGTTCACATACACCCCCACACCATGCAATTCCATGTGTTCACATGTATGCCTGCTCATGCACACCTGTGCATGCACACATGTGGCCCTGCACACACAGCAGGTGTGTTCACACACACACTCCAGGCATGGGGACACACGTGGACCTGCACACACAGCAGGCGTGTTCACACACACTCCAGGCATGGGGTACACGTGGACCTGCACATACAGCAGGCATGTTCACGCACACTCCAGGCACACACATGAACCTGCACACACAGCAGGCGTGTTCACACACACTCCAGGCACACACACATGTGGACCTGCACATACAGCAGGTGTGTTCACACACACTCCAGGCATGGGGTACACGTGGACTTGCACACACAGCAGGCGTGTTCACACACTCCAGGCACACACACATGAACCTGCACATACAGCAGGCATGTTCACACACACTCCAGGCATGGGGGCACATGTGGACCTGCACACACAGCAGGCGTGTTCACACACATTCCAGGCACACACACATGTGGACCTGCACATACAGCAGGCGTGTTCACACACACACTCCAGGCACACACACACTCGTGGCCCTGCACACACAGCAGGCGTGTTCACACACACTCCAGGTACACACACACATGAACCTGCACATTCAGCAGGCATGTTCACACACTCTAGGCACACACACATGTGGACTTGCACACACAGCAGGCGTGTTCACACACACTCCAGGTACACACACACATGAACCTGCACATACAGCAGGCATGTTCACACACTCCAGGCACACACACATGTGGACCTGCACATACAGCAGGCATGTTCACACACACACTCCAGGCACACACACACTCGTGGCCCTGCACACACAGCAGGCGTGTTCACACACACACTCCAGGCACACACACACATGTGGACTTGCACACACAGCAGGCGTGTTCACACACACTCCAGGTACACACACATGAACCTGCACATACAGCAGGCATGTTCACACACTCCAGGCACACACACATGTGGACTTGCACACACAGCAGGCGTGTTCACACACACTCCAGGCATAGGTACGTTTACCTCACCACAACCTCCCAGAAACATCCCTCAATTCTTGCTCTGAGGCCCCTGAGATGCGAGCGCCCCACTCCTGGATGTGGGCTTCCTTCCGCAGCCCGGGGATGACTTGGGGTGCCCTTCAGGGGAACTGCAAGGCCTGTGGGGTGTCTGGATTGTGGTTCCATTTTGTCTGCTGGTTCTGTGCAGGGCCAGTTCCCATGCATAGAATTCCAGGGGAGTGAGGGTGCGTGTGGAGCCGGGGAGGCAAATGGAGCTCAGGGAGAGATGTTTGCAGCTGGAGGGGGTAGTGTCTGGAGCCGTGTTGTGCGGGGGGCATCTGGCTCGTCCCCCCCCCCCCCACACACACACAGCAAGGCTTGTTTCAGGTAATGCCAGCGGCTGGAGCGGGGCAGATGGGGGTCCCATGCTCTCGGGGGGAACACTCCCTGCCCCAGCCACCACACATGGTGGGGTCCCAGAGGACTGCACAGTGGCCAGTGAGTCCCTGGAGGGTGGGAAGGGCCCGTGTTTGCTAGGTCCCTGGCAGGCAGTTTTGTTACTTCTTGAGCTGTATTTATTGCAAAGACAGTTAACAGGTTGTGGGGTGGGGAGAAGAGATCTTTCATCAGCTGGAAGGAACTGGGACTTTGGGTCCGCCACGTAGATGCAGGGGCCTGGGCAGTGGGGTGCCCTGCACTGCTCCCCCAGACCATCAGCAGGGAGCTGGTCACAGCGGAGCAGCAGGACTGGGTGGTGTGTTAGAGGCTGGTGTTGGCAGGCAGGGGCTTTACCCGCTGTACCCGAGCGCCAGCCCGTGGCATGCATGCAGATGTCGTCGGGGCCAGTGCGTCTGAGGGGTGAGGGGGAGGGCTGCCATGTGTGGTCTTAGACACACGGCCCTCACCAGTCCTTTCCTCTTGCAGAGGGCTCCGGCGATGAAGTGGGGCTGCTGCAACTGCTTGGGGAGCCCCCGCCCCAGCAAGTCACCGAGGTCGAGGACCCCGACGTCGGGCTGGCCTACGTCTTCGGGCCGGACGCCAACAGTGGCCAGGCGGCCCACTACCACTTCCCCAGCCCGTTTTTCCGGGACTTCTCGCTGCTGTTCCGCATCCGGCCAGCCACGGCACAGGCAGGGGTGCTGTTCGCCATCACGGACCCGGCGCAGGCCGTGGTCAGGCTGGGCGTGAAGGTCTCGGAGGTGCAAGACGACCACCAGCTCATCTCGCTGCTCTACACGGAGCCAGGCACCAGCCCGACCCGCACGGCCGCCAGCTTCCGCCTGCCCGCCTTCGTGGGTCAGTGGCTGCGCTTCGCGCTGAGCGTGGATGCTGGCCACGTGGCACTCTATGTGAACTGTGAGGAGTTCCAGAGGGTGCCCTTCTCACGCTCGGCCCAGAGCCTGCCGCTGGAGCCGGGCTCAGGCCTCTTTGTGGCTCAGGCCGGAGGAGCTGACCCTGACAGGTTCCAGGTAAGCTCTGTGCGGGAGTGGCGGGAACAGAAGGGAGCACCTGCTTCCGTGGCTCCTGTGGTCAACGCCTGTCAGGGCCAGGAGCCCCCCTCTGTGTGGACCCTGGTGGACAGGCCAAAGGGGGTGATGACCACAGAATTGGGAGCCCCCGCCACACTGAGTGACCCGACCCCTTCTGCCGTGGCCTTCTGCCTCTGGGGAGGTGGCCAGGACCCTGAGCAGGGACAAGGCCGCGTGGGTGCCCTCGGCTGGCGCTGACTCACTGGTGTGGATTCTGGCGCTGGGTCCCTGTGGGCGCCCGGGCTGCGACCTCGGGACAGAGTTAATTATTGTCACACAGAGGCCGTTTGTTTGAAGCTGAGCCGCATGCTGGCCCTGATGCTGACCTCCCGTCCTTGGCTGAGTGTTTAACCCCCAGGGGTCAAGAGCCCTGGGCTTCCCTGTGTTCTCCCAGTCTGCACAGTGAGCCGGAAGGAGACGGCATCCCTGTCTTGCCATCTGGGGGGAGGGATTTAGACATTTGTGGAAGGGAGCACATCCGTGATGGAGTGGCACCTGGGGTCAGTGTGCATGCGTGGGCCCTGTGGTGCCATGTGGGCAGGGCGCCTGGGGTCAGTGTGCATGTGTGGGCGCTGTGGTGCCATGTGGGCAGGGCACCTGGGGTCAGTGTGCATGTGTGGGCGCTGTGGTGCCATGTGGGCAGGGCGCCTGGGGTCAGTGTGCATGTGTGAGCGCTGTGGTGCCATGTGGGCAGGGCACCTGGGGTCAGTGTGCATGTGTGGGCGCTGTGGTGCCATGTGGGCAGGGCGCCTGGGGTCAGTGTGCATGTGTGGGCGCTGTGGTGCCATGTGGGCAGGGCGCCTGGGGTCAGTGTGCATGTGTGAGCGCTGTGGTGCCATGTGGGCAGGGCACCTGGGGTCAGTGTGCATGTGTGGGCGCTGTGGTGCCATGTGGGCAGGGCGCCTGGGGTCAGTGTGCATGTGTGAGCGCTGTGGTGCCATGTGGGCAGGGCACCTGGGGTCAGTGTGTGCGTGGGCCCTGTGGTACCATGTGGGCAGGGCACCTGGGGTCAGTGTGTGCGTGGGCCCTGTGGTGCCATGTGGGCAGGGCACCTGGGGTCAGTGTGTGCGTGGGCCCTGTGGTGCCATGTGGGCAGGGCGCCTGGGGTCGGTGTGTGCATGGGCACTGTGGTGCCATGTGGGCAAGGCACCAGCCTGGGGTCAGTGTGCATGCATGGGCGCTGTGGTGCCATGTGGGCAGGGCACCAGCCTGGGGTCAGTGTGCATGCATGGGTGCTGTGGTGCCATGTGGGCAGGGCGCCTGCCTGGGGTCAGTGTGCATGCGTGGGCACTGTGGTGCCATGTGGGCAGGGCGCCAGCCTGGGGTCAGTGTGCATGCGTGGGCACTGTGGTGCCATGTGGGCAGGGCACCAGCCTGGGGCAGGGTTTGCATTTTCTCTTGTAGTGTTGGTTTTTCTGTTTCTAGGATGGACTGAACTGTCTTGTTGATTCGTAGATTCTCTTTACATATGCACAGGACAAGCCTTGGGCTTCTGTGTCGTCAGTCTAGTCACAGCTTGTCCACTGTCCCCTGGATGTGGGGGTGTTGTATTGCTAAGTGGCCTGTGGACACATGCAGGGCGCCAGGCATCCCAGCAAGGTTGCAGGTCCCTCGACTGCAGCTTGTGTTCCGAGACCCCAGGCACTTCAGCTCTCTCTGTGCGTCCCCAGCTGGGAGGAGCAGACACTGGAGAGCAGAAGAGAGGTGGGGAGGTGTTCGGCCCCGGTGACCCTCTCAGGAAGGCCCTGGGCTGTGTGTAAGCTCTGAAGTTTGCAGAGCCAGGCCCAGCACTGCGGGCACTGGAGGCACTGTGGGCACTACATGGCGTGCCTCAGTGAGGCTCCCGGCCACACTACACACAGCCCGGCCACCCAGGCACCCGTGGTTCCCTTCAGGACCAGGCAGTACCATTCTCACATTGATCCCTTCCCCGGCCCAAGCCGTGTGCCCAGCAGGGCCTGCACCTGAATATGTACCCCATGTCTCCTGTCACCCACTGTGCCCCATGTCTCCTGGCACCTGCCATGCCCTGTGTCTCCTGGCACCCACTGTGCCCCGTGTTTCCTGGTACCCACCGTGCCCATCACCCACTGTGCCCCGTGTCTCCTGTCACCCACCGTGCCCATCACCCACTGTGCCCCATGTCTCCTGGCACCCACTGTGCCCCATGTTTTCTGTCACCCACCGTGCCCATCACCCACTGTGCCCCATGTCTCCTGGCACCCACTGTGCCCCATGTTTTCTGTCACCCACCATGCTCATCACCCACTGTGCCCCGTGTCTCCTGGCACCCGCCGTGCCCATCACCCACCATTCCCTGTGTCTCCTGTCACCCACCGTGCCCCGTGTTTCCTGGCACCCGCTGTGCCCATCACCCACTGTGCCTGGTGGCTCCTGCTCTCCCTGCACAGGAAGGGGTCCCCAGCCCTTGTTTGCTCACTGCTCTTTATCTTGGGAACTTGTCCCTCACTCTGGCTTTGATCTCTTTGGTTGATGTCAGCCGTCTTGTTTGTCTAAATGTTCCACTAGCGTCCTTTGGCCCCCAGGCCACACGGAGCTTGAGAGCTGTAGGCCGCTGTAACTGGTCTGTGCCAGCACAGGCAGCTGTGGATGTGAATTTTCTTCAGCGTGGCACCATGGGCACACCGCCATGGGCACGCCACCATGGGCACACCACCATGGACACACTGCCATGGGCATGCCACATGGGCACACCACCATGGGCAGGTCACCATGGGCAGGTCACCATGGGCACACCACCATGGGCACGCCACCATGGGCACACCACCATGGGCAGGTCACCATGGGCACACCACCATGGGCACACCGCCATGGGCACACCGCCATGGGCACGTCGCCATGGGCACACCACCATGGGAACACCGCCATGGGCACACCACCATGGGCATACCACCATGGGCCAGTGGTGAGTGTGCTGAGACCTCAGGGTGGCACCATGGAAGAAGCCGTGTATGTCCAGCCCTGCCAGGCCCCACGGCTGACCAGGGAGCCTGGGACACCCACAGTTCTGACCTTAGTTAGCCTGGCTCACTGAGCCATTTTTATGGAGTCAGGGAGCCTGGGGGTGGTAGGACCCTGAGGAGAAGCCAGCACACAGCAGTTAGCAGTGGACAGTGGCGGCAGGGTCCAGAGGATGAGGGACGGCCCTGCCGCCTGGCTGCTGCAGTTCATACTGTCCTGCAGGCAGCCCTCACCTGGGGAACCTTACCACGGCAGCTGTGGTATGTCACGGGGCCGAGTGCTGTGTGCCAGCGGGTCTGGCGTTCGATGAGGGCGTGCACCCTGTCTGCTCACTCACCCGGGATGTGATGCAAGCGCGCCGTGTTTGCCTGTGGGACGCTCTGATCTCCCACCCAGCGCTCTGGATTTCATGGTTTTGGGTTTCAAGTCCAGCAAATATTTGCAGGGAACCGTGTGGCTTCTGCACAGCTGCCTGTCCCCAGAGCGTGTCCCCCATGGGCGGCACCGGGAGGGCCATGGGAGGCAGGCAGGGGCTTCTGTACGGCCTCTGCCATGTGCCCCCGCTAGGTGTGCAGGAGCCACTCAAGGGGACCATCCTGGCCCTCCTGGAAAGCCTGACTTTGCGGGGTCTGAACTGTCACCCAGAATTCTCAGGGGGGACCTTGGCTAGGCAGTAGGGCTGGTGAGAGGCAGACTGGGAACATGTGGCACCCCTGTTGTCCCCCGGACTGGACACCTGTCGCACTCAATGTTGGGAGAGGCATCACCTGGTGCCATGAGCCCCATTTCCCCTGTAGGGCTGGGCTGGGCTGGGCTGGGCTGGGCTGGGCTGGGGCTAGGGTGGGCAGGGCTGGAGCTAGGGTGGGCAGGGCAGGGCAGGGCTCAGTGGCTGGGCAGGGTAGGGCTGGGCTGGGTTGGGCTGGGCCACTCTGGATCTGCGCTGACCTCTGTCCTCTGTTTAGGGGAGCATTGCCGAGTTGAGTGTGCGTGGGGACCCCCAGCTGAGCCCCCAGCACTGCCTGGACGAGGAAGACGATGATGATGGCGGGGTGAGTGATGGCTTGTGGTGAGGCTGTGCCCTGGTGCTCAGAGCCCAGCAGCCTTGCTCCCCACCCACACTAACTCCCCCAAGGGCTGCCAGGGCTCGGGGCACATGGGCATGGGTGCTGCTTAGTTATTAGTTGCTGTGCGGTGACTGAAGGCAGAGCTGGGCTGGCCTTGCGCTGGATAAGGCTTCGCCATGAGCAGTTCCAGCCCAGTGCCTGCATACAGACCGGGCCAGTCCCTGTGTGAAGACCAGGCCTACTCCTCACATACTGACCATGCCCAGTCCCCACGTGCTGACCAGGGCCAGTCCCCATGTGCTGACCATGCCCAGTCCCCACGTGCTGACCATGCCCAGTCCCCACATGCTGACCATGCCCAGTTCCCACGTGCTGACCATGCCCAGTCCCCATGTGCTGACCATGCCCAGTCCCCATGTGCTGACCATGCCCAGTCCCCACGTGCTGACCAGGGCCAGTTCCCACGTGCTGACCATGCCCAGTCCCCACATGCTGACCAGGGCCAGTCCCCACGTGCTGACCATGCCCAGTCCCCACATGCTGACCAGGGCCAGTCCCCACGTGCTGACCATGCCCAGTCCCCACATGCTGACCATGCCCAGTCCCCACATGCTGACCATGCCCAGTCCCCACGTGCTGACCAGGGCCAGTCCCCACGTGCTGACCATGCCCAGTCCCCACGTGCTGACCATGCCCAGTCCCCACGTGCTGACCAGGGCCAGTCCCCACGTGCTGACCATGCCCAGTCCCCACGTGCTGACCAGGGCCAGTCCCCACGTGCTGACCATGCCCAGTCCCCACGTGCTGACCAGGGCCAGTCCCCACGTGCTGACCAGGGCCAGTCCCCACATGCTGACCAGGGCCAGTCCCCACGTGCTGACCATGCCCAGTCCCCACGTGCTGACCAGGGCCAGTCCCCACGTGCTGACCAGGGCCAGTCCCCACATGCTGACCATGCCCAGTCCCCACGTGCTGACCAGGGCCAGTCCCCACGTGCTGACCATGCCCAGTCCCCACATGCTGACCATGCCCAGTCCCCACGTGCTGACCATGCCCAGTCCCCACATGCTGACCAGGGCCAGTCCCCACGTGCTGACCATGCCCAGTCCCCACGTGCTGACCAGGGCCAGTCCCCACGTGCTGACCATGCCCAGTCCCCACGTGCTGACCAGGGCCAGTCCCCACGTGCTGACCAGGGCCAGTCCCCACGTGCTGACCATGCCCAGTCCCCACGTGCTGACCATGCCCAGTCCCCACGTGCTGACCAGGGCCAGTCCCCACGTGCTGACCATGCCCAGTCCCCACCTGCTGACCAGGGGTGAGTTTCCTGCCGCGGCAGCTGCCTCCAGCCCTAGGCTGCAGCAGTTGTAGGTCCATGTGCCCTGCCAGGAGCATGTGGGTGTGGGGCCTCCTGTCCAGGCAGACATCCCAGGTGTGCTGTCCGTACTCTCTATGGCCACAGCTGCCAGACTCTGGGGGGCCCAAGCTAATGTGGGGAGGGAGCACCCCGGGTCTCTCTTGAGAATGCTGGGAACACAGTGAGGTCACAGCCTGAGGGTGCTCGGACCCCACTGGGGCCAGGCTGTGCTCACCCTCCTTGCCTCTGACCCTCCAGGCCTCTGGGGACTTTGGCAGTGGACTTGAAGAGAATCGAGAGCTGCGCAGGGAGGACACAGTGAGTGGCTGCCCTCACCCCCAGCCGTGCCCACACCAGGCTCTCCTCCCATCCCTCCAGTGTCTCAGGCCTGCTCTCTGTGGTGCTCCCAGAACGGAGCCCGCGCTGGCCCTCAGCAGGCCTCGGGCCACAGAGCTGGGGGACTTCGCCAGCTGCCCAGGGAGACTACAGCTTGCAGCCCAGGCCACCCCACCCAAGGGGCCCTCTGCCAGATGAACCCTCATGCGCCTGCTCCTGCAGGGCACGTCCCGGAAGCCCAGCCCACCACAGCCACCACCGGTCACTTCTCCTCCCTTGGCTGAAGACAGCACCATAGAAGATTCCAGAACTGAAGAAACTGAGGCAACTACGGTGGCCACATTAGGAGGTAACACTCTTCTGTGTGTCCTCGCAGAATCTGGTATGTATGGGTGTGCACATGGCATGTAAGTATATAGCACCTGCCGTATGTGGTATGTGTGTGTGCTGGGCGTGAGCTCCATGTCTGCTCCGTGTGGTGTGCTGGGTGTGTGTCATGCGTGTGCTGGACATGAGCTCCGTGTGCTCCATGTGATATGCAGGTGTGTGCCACGTGTGTGCTGGGAGTGAGCTCCATGTCTGTGCTCCGTGTGATATGCAGGTGTGTGTCATGCGTGTGCTGGACATGAGCTCCGTGTGATCCATGTGATATGCAGGTGTGTGCCACGTGTGTGCTGGGAGTGAGCTCCATGTCTGCTCCGTGTGATATGCAGGTGTGTGCCACTTGTGTGCTGGGAGTGAGCTCTGTCTGCTCTGTGTGGTGTGCTGGGTGTGTGTGCCACGTGTGTGCTGGGAGTGAGCTCCATATCTGCTCCGTGTGATATGCAGGTGAGTGTCACGCGTGTGCTGGGAGTGAGCTCCATGTCTGTGCTCCGTGTGCTATGCAGGTGTGGTGTGTGTGTCACATGTGTGCTGGGAGTGAGCTCCATGTCTGCTCCATGCGGTGTGCACGTTTGTGGTGTATGTTATGTGTGTTGTGGGAATGAGCTTATGTCTGCTCCGTGTGGTTTGCACATGTGTGGTCTATGCGTGTTGTGTTTGTGGTGGCCTGGGTCTGCAGGGGTGAAGGTGGGGTGGCTGCTGACACAGTGCCCCCTCATGCCCCCGTCCCCCTGCACCTTCTGGATGGGGTGGGCCCCCACTCGCTCCAAGGGCCAGTGGGACCTGGGACTGCAGGCCGCCTCTGGGGAGGGGCTTTGCACAGGGACTGGGCAGCAGGCGGCTGGGGAGGGTGTGTGTGTGTGTGTGTGTGTGTGTCAGCTGTGTGCCGTGTGTGTCCCCTGGGGACTCTGTGTGAGGACTCCCTGGGTGCCATATGTGTGTGTCCACTACATGCCGTGTGTGCGGGTGCTCATGCACCTTGGTGCCATGTGTGTCCCCTCATGGAACCCTGACTTGGTATGGTGGCCGAGATAGGTCCGTCTTCCACTTGCCTCTTACTGGCACCCTTGTCCATGCTTCTGTGGCCTCCAGCGTGGCCAGGGTTGCGGGTGGCCGATTTCCCTGAAGAGCCAGTTTTGCGGGCCTGTCCCTTGCACAGAGCCTGGCTGCCCCCTGGTGGCCAAGGTGTGACTCACACATGGTGTGGCTGCAGGCACTGCTGCCTGATAGCCAAACCTGGGGGGACAGTGACCCCGGGACCAGAGGGCTCTGTGCTGCGTACAGGAACGGGGCGTGTTCAGGTCTCCAGAGGGGTGGACATAGCAAGGCCTCAAGGGAATTAGAGGGTAGAAGAGGAAATTACGGAGCCCAGAACCAGGGTACCCCTCGCAGGTCTCACTGTCCCAGGTCACACTGTCCCCAGGTCACCCCTCACAGGTCACACTGTCCCCAGGTCATCCTTGACAGGTCACACTGTCTCCCAGGACACTCCTTATAGGTCACACTGTCCCCAGGTCACCTGTCACAGGTCGCACTGTCCCCAGGCATAGCTCAGATTATCCCAGGTCACCCCTCAAATGTCACAGGTCATGTTGTCCCGGTACACCCCTCAGAAGTACAGGTCATAGGTCATACTCTCCCAGGTCGCCTCCCACAGGTCTCACTGCTGAAGGTGCAGTGGGTGTCCAAATGCCCTGAGACAGGTTGTCCCACTGCTCTCAGGTCCCTGGCCCAGACGTGGCTATGGGCAAAGCAGCAGAGGTCAGACGTCCACCACTCCTGTAGGCCAGCATCGGTCCACCTGTGGCCTTGGCCGTGGCCCCTGCTGTGGGGCGTCTGTGGCCAGGCCACACTCCAGGTAACAGGATGCAGCAATGGCGTGCTCAACGGAGACGTACTGAAGACAGTGATGGCGAACTTGTCCGTTTATACAGCCAGGCACCAGGTTGTGTCGGAGGATCCAGGGGAGCAAGCCTCAGGGCAGTAACAGCATTTCTGTTGGATATCAGCTTCCGTTACATCAGCCTAGCCAGGTGGTACAAACGTCACGTACTGTGCCAGGTGGCACTGTATAGCCAGCCCACCACAACTTGTGTAACCCACTTGCATCCTGGCGTTGTTTACTACAAAACCATCACAAGTTTATCACCAGATGGGCAGGGGTCAGGGTGGGCAGGGCAGGAGGGGACCAAGTTACTGGAAGAGGTTGAGTTGGAGGGAAGTGCCCAGAGCGTCTCGGGCTTCCTGCCAACTGTCTGGGTCCACAGGGATCTTGGGCGCTATCAGAACAGAAGGGGATCAAGGCATACGCCAAAACCAAGGGGGGAGTGTCTCGAGTCTAGACATCCACTCAAGCCAAAACCATGTTCCCACTGCCCGTGCGTAGGCCGAGTGAGCCGAGGCCCATCCTGCGCTCGCCCTGCACCGGCCTGTCCACGTGCGGCCTGTCCATGTGTGGGCCTGTCCACATGCGGGCTTGTCCACGTCAGGCCTGTCCACGTGCGGCCTGTCCACGTGTGGCCTGTCCACATGCGGGCTTGTCCACGTCAGGCCTGTCCACGTGCGGGCCTGTCCACGTGTGGCCTGTCCACGTGCGGCCTGTCCATGTGTGGGCCTGTCCACATGCGGGCTTGTCCACGTGTGGCCTGTCCACGTGCGGGCCTGTCCACGTGCGGCCTGTCCACATGCGGCCTGTCCACATGCGGGCTTGTCCACGTGTGGCCTGTCCACGTGTGGGCCTGTCCACATGCGGGCTTGTCCACGTCAGGCCTGTCCACGTGTGGGCCTCTTGCTGTGAGCTCTCACCACAGACAGAGGGGGAGGCCCTGATCCTACTGCTGGCGCTGGCCACTGACCACTCACCTCTTGGTCCATCAGAGGCAGAAGCCAGCACCACACAGCCCTGGTCACCTCTCACCCATCTGTGCTCCTGGAGAGAAGGCCCCAGGACGCCATGGGCCCAGCACAGGTGCCGGGGGTGTGGCCAGGTCATGCTCAGGGCAGAGCGCGGTCACCAGGGGGACCTCAGATTGCCAATGACCTCTAGCTTCCGGGACGTACCAGTGTTCGGGGAGAGGTGCCAATACGTGTGTATGTGTGATATGTTGTCAGCTGTGTGAACGAGAGGATGTGTGGTGTGTGTGATAGCACGTGTCTGCGTGTAAGTGGCGTGTCACGCATGGGTGTGTGGGATGTGAATGTGCTGAGTGAGGGAAGTGTGACATGCTGCCTGTGGTGGGCCTGGCGTGCACCACACTGTGACGTGGTGTGTGGTATACACCTTAGACGATGTGTTATATGTGGTGGTGTGTGGCGTGCACCAACCGTGAGACGTGGTGTGTGGCTGTCACCACCAGTTGTCACCTTTCCCCTCATCTGTCCTGAACAACAGCTGTGACTCCCCGACCCCAGGGCACCAGTAGGGTGTGTTGGGCACCAGGTGCAGCTGGGTTGGACAGCAGCGCCCGGGCAGGGCCTGCAGGACCCTTGGGCTAACAGCGACGCCCCTGCCTCTCCACAGCACACACACGTCCTGCCTCAGACCTGGTGTCCACGCGGGATGGGGGTGTCCGGAGCCCTGCAGGCCACCTGGAGAAGGTGAGGCCCCATCCGTGACACACAGGGAGCCGTAGTGTTTGTGCTCCACTCAGGGAAGCCCTAATGAGTCCCTTTGCTGTGTGCCCTGCCCACTTCTTTCCTGGCTCATGGCACTGTGGCCTGGTCACTGTGTGTCCACCGTCCTGGCCACTGTACACATTGTTGATGACATAGCCTGAGCAGGAATTCGGGGTACCCAGGGGCACACATGTGGACCTTCCCAGGTGTACAAAGGGGCACATGTGTGAACCATCCCAGAAGCACACAGGAGCACACAGGCGGGCCATCCCAGGTGTACAAAGGGGCACACGTGTGGGCCATCCCAGGTACACATAGGGGCACACATGTGGGTCTCTTCACCCTTGCCTTTTGTCCCCGTCTCCAGGGAGGCCTGAAGGGACAGAAGGGGGAGCCAGGAGCTCAGGGTCCGCCTGGCCCGGCTGGCCCTCAGGGTCCTGCAGGCCCAGCGGCCCGGAACTCTGATGGGCTGCCTGTCCCGGGGGCACAGGGGCCTCCTGGGCCACCAGGGCTGCCAGGGAAGGACGGCGAGCCGGTGAGTGCTTGTCTCCATGTCTGGAAGTTGGGGCTCTGTGAGGGGGATGGCATCGGGGTGGGGACCCAGAATGTGGCGGGAGCTGGTGGAGGCGGGGTGCACTACCTGGTGCAGCAGAGACCCTCACGAAGGTGCTGTCTGGGGGCTCTGCTGTGTAGGTGGGCCTGCTGGGCAGCTGCGTCCCCTGATGTGGTTCAGGGGCAAGGCTGACCACCATCACTGAAGCTGTTCTTGCACTTTTCCAGGGCGACCCCGGCGAAGACGGGAAGCCTGTAAGTTTGCTACTCGCGAGGTGTGCACAGGCCCTGGCTTTGCGCCCCAAGACGGCAGAGCATGCAGCTGCTTGGCAAAGGGGCTGAGGCAGGAGCTAGGGAGAATGACAGGGCATGTGGAGCCGGGCCGGGCAGGGATCGTGGGGGCAGGCGCACCTTGGAGGTGCCTCCCGGGCCGGGCTGGGAGCGTGGGGGGCAGGCGTGCTGGGCTGGGAGCGTGGGGGCAGGTGCGCCTTGGAGGTGCTCACCTGGAGAGCCCTCGTGTGACCACACATGGAGAGCCGGGCCCAGGGCAGTCCCATGTGAATCATCTCAGCCCCATTTCTGTCATGGGAAACTGAGAATCACTGTTGCCAAGCACCCCGCCCCCCCCCCCACATCACACACATCACCGTGCAACATACATGCACAGCACTACCCATGTGCTGTAAGGACATATCACATGTGTGTGCATCGTCGTGTATGTGTGAACACGGAACACACGTGTGCACGTGCAGCCCCTCATGTGTAGCGCACACACATTGACAGCCAGGTGCCGCTCTTTGTGGGGTCACTGGTGGGCACTGCTGATATGAGGGGTGGGTCACACGGTGGTCCTGGATCCTCTGGGAGGGGCCCCGCTCTGCCGGCCTGTGCCCGGGATGCATGGGACCCTCATGGGTCCTGCTCTTGTCTTCCAGGGTGAAGCCGGGCCACAAGGTTTCCCGGGGACTCCAGGAGACGTGGGCCCCAAGGGCGAAAAGGTGTGTGGTGTCTCCGTTGCTGCTGCCCCGGGGTGCCTTGTGCCCGCCGTGTGACAGCCTTGCCTTTTGTTCCAGGGGGACCCTGGGGTTGGGCCGAGGGGACCTCCAGGACCCCAAGGACCTCCAGGGCCACCAGGACCTCCATTCAGACACGACAGACTGGTAAGTCGCACCTTCGCCGCTCCTGCAGGAGCCAGGGGCACGCCGGGCAAGACAAGGGCAGGGCTGTGGACGCTGGCCGGCCAGGGCCTCAGGCCTCTGTCTTGCCCACAGACCTTCATCGACATGGAAGGATCTGGCTTTGGGGGTGACCTGGAGACGCTTCGGGTGAGTGCTGGGGTTGGGGGAAGACTCAGCCGATGTCCCCTGGCACCTGTGGAGCAGGTACCCACGGGGACGGGGATGAGGCCCTGTGTCTGTCTCCCTGTGCAGGGTCCTCGTGGCTTCCCCGGACCCCCTGGCCCTCCTGGCGTCCCAGGCCTGCCGGGCGAGCCAGGCCGCTTTGGTGTGAACAGCACTCACACCCCGGGCCCTGCAGGCCTCCCCGGAGTGCCTGGGCGAGAGGGGCCCCCTGGTGTCCCTGGCCCCCCGGTAAGTCGGTGCTCCCCTCACACTCACTGCCCTGTCTTGCCCTCCACCTCCCTCCACCCCTGTCGGGAGGGGCAGCCTGGGCCATGGCATGCTGACCAGCTGGAGAAACTGATCAACCTTTTTGGGGTCTCCAAGTGGCTCACTGATGACAGGAAGTCAGGGCCACCACAAGGGGTACCCAATGTCCCTGGGTTCCCGGTGCCAGCCCCAGTGCCAGGACTCTCCCTGCCATGTGTCTGTAAGCATGTGAGATGTGTACCCACGCCGGGGTTGCCCCTGCCAGGGGTCCTGCTGCACACACGTGTGCTCCAGCACAGCCAGCCTCAGTCCCTGGCCCCACACTCCTCCCAGGGTGGCCTTGATGGCCCTGCCATGGGTGCCTGCCCCGATACCCTCCCAGCAGTGTTTGACTAACAACTGAAAAACCAAAGAACAGAAGTGACCTAGGAAAAGAAGCTGGTGCCGTGTGCTGAGCGTGTCCCGTGTGCTAAGCGTGTCCCGTGTGCTGAGCCTGTCCCGTGTGCTGAGCCTGTCCCGTGTGCTGAGCGTGTCCCGTGTGCTGAGCGTGTCCCGTGTGCTGAGCGTGTCCCGTGTGCTGAGTGTGTCCCGTGTGCTGAGCCTGTCCCGTGTGCTAAGCGTGTCCTGTGTGCTAAGCGTGTCCCGCGTGCTGAGTCTGTCCCGTGTGCTGAGCCTGTCCCGTGTGCTAAGTGTGTCCCGTGTGCTGAGCCTGTCCCGTGTGCTAAGCGTGTTCTGTGTGCTGAGCCTGTCCAGTGTGCTAGGCTGTGTTCTGTGTGCTGAGCCGTGTTCTGGTTGCTATGGCTGGGTCTCCCATGGGCTGTCCCATGTCCCTGTGTGTCAGGCTCCTGAGGTGCCCATGAGTGACCATGTCCTGGGACCAACACTCTGCTTTCTTCCCACACAGGGACCCCAAGGTCCCCCAGGAAGGGAGGGGCAGCCAGGAGCGCCGGGACCAAAAGGCAACCTTGTGAGTGACCGCTGGGCGGGGAGGGGGTGGGGCTGGGAGCACCTCCTGGGGGTCCGTGCCCTCCAGAGAGGGGCAGTGTTAGCAGGAGGGACACCCGAGACAGCTGCACCTGTGGCTCTGGGGTGGGGGCTCCCTGTAGGGGGACGACAAGGGCTGCGGAGTTCATCCACTGGTTCTGACCTCACGTGATCTCTTCTTTCCCTTCAGGGCGATGTGGGCGCCCCAGGACCCAAGGTACACACTCCGGCCTCGCATCCTCGCGACACAGCTGTCTGCTGGGGAGACGTGTCCAGGCACTGTGTGGCAATGGGCAGCTAGCCCACAGCCCAGGGGCTGACCAAGGCCTCTGCTGGGGAAGAGGGCAGGGCTTATGTGGGTGGGGTGTAGGCTTGGGACAGACCCAGGGTGACACGCACGGAAGGAAGGGCGCCCTGCCTTGGCCACCAGGTTGCCCAGTGGGAGCTTGCACACCCAGGTACCTGCCCCTAACGGGCCTGCCCTCCCGGCTCATGGCCTGCTTGGAGACCTTCACCCAGCTTCTCCTGGGAAGGAGAGGGGCTTCCTAGAGACCAGGGCGGGCCCCTAACGACAGGCAGACCCCTCCCCAGTGGACAGCCCCCCATCCTGTCCAGGACATGGGACTGGATAGGCAGCAGCTAGAAACTTACCCACTACTGTAGGGGCAGGGAGGGGTGCAAAGGGAAGGAGGCATGGCTAAGGATTGGGGAGCTGGAAGAAAAGGTGGGGTGCCGGGGTTCCTAAAAGAGGGTTTAAGGTAAAAACATGAGCATGTGTGCACACAGGTACAGGTCAGCGAGCGTGCACAGGCCTGTGGCCGTGCGTCCTGAGCAGAGGGCTCCGCCGGGGGACTGGCCTGCACTGGGCCCCCTGCTCGCCTCCCAAGGCGCCGGGCTCCCTGCCTCTCACTCCCTGAGCGACCGCATGTCGTCCTTGTGGCCATGCTGTGCCCTGAGGTCCCTCAGAACCTGTGTGCACTCTGCCCCTAGCCCTGCGGTGGCCAGGACCTGTACCCTCCCCTGGCTGTCCTCAGCCTGTTCTTTCCTCTCTCCTCCCGGCCTCGCTCCTGGCAGCTGCCCACCCTTCCTCACCTGCTCCACCTGCTCCTGGCTCCCCGGGCCGGAGGTAACGGCCATGTGTGAGCATGCTGATGTGTTGCACGCTCTCCTCAACCACTTGCCCTCCTGAGCTCCAAGCTGGCTCGGCTCCGGGCTACCCAGTGTGCGTTCGCCAGGGGGCACGACCACTGGCTAGCAGTGCCCTCTTTCCTTCCCTGCAGGGCAGCAAGGGGGACCCCGGCCCCGTGGGTAGCCCAGGCGAGACTGGCTTCGTGGGAGCCCCAGGGCCTGCTGGACCTCAAGGACCCCCCGGACCCCCAGGGCCCCCTGGGCCTCCAGGACCAGGACTTGCGGCTGGATTTGTGAGTGTGTGACCCTGGGAAGCTGTCAGCTACCCCGTGCTCCCCTCCCTGCCCCAATCCTGATGTCTCCGGGGGGCAGGTCGCAGGTGCCAGCCCTGTTGGTGCTGTTCCTACACAGGACTCCACTCTCCAGCGAGGCCCAGCAACCACACATGGGGCCTCCCCCGTGGCACCTGCCCTGTGGCTCAGCAATCTTGTTTCTCTCTCCCAGGAAGACATGGAAGGCTCCGGGGTTCCCTTCTGGACAACAGCCGGAAACTCCGAGGGGCGGCAGGTACCTACAGCAGGGCCTGGGCAGTGGGGCGGGACGCCCCCTGTGAGTGTGGGGAGTCCCAGGACAGAAGCCACCTTTCCAGAATAGGGGTGCCATGTCAGCCAGGCTCAGACATCTGCCCTGGGGACCCCGTCATCACTTCATTCTGTGACTGTGGGTTTAAGAGCAGGAGACACATGATAGAATGCGTGTGGAAGGCGTTCCCTGTCTTACTGTTTTGTGTGCACAGTGACACGTCTGGGAATTCTGACACACATGTGGGAGAGAAATTGTCTTGGGTGAATGCTGACAGGTGTCAGGGAGACGCTCTGTTTGTCTTCCGGGCACGTGCGAGGCCCTTGTGTCTGGGTGGAGGCCTGGTGGCTGATAGCCATGGCCTTCGCGACGTGGCTCCCGCCTGGCCCTGCAGCAGCCTGGACGGACCCTGGTCATGGCCTGGATAGATCCTGGTCACAGCCTGGATGGACCCTGGTCACGACCTGGATGGATCCTGGCCACAGCCTGGACGGACCTTGGTCACGGGCTGGACGGACCCTGGTCACAGCCTGGATGGACCCTGATCACGGGCTGGACGGACCCTGGTCACGGGCTGGACGGACCCTGGTCACGGCCTGGATGGACCCTGGTCACGGCCTGGACGGGCCCTGGCCACGGCCACTCTGGCACGAAAGCAGATCTCTGTTTAATCAGTGTTTGTACACAGCAGATGGGGGCACCTCTGAGGCCCCCCTGAGGTCAGCCTGAGGGACATGTCAGGGACCACTGCCTCCTGAGGGAGCCCACACACATGGCCTTGAGCCCAGCATGCAGTTCCCCTAGGAGACTGGCCAGTGAAGGGTATGGGGGCAAGACGAATGAGAACTTAGGGCCTGAGCCTGCCAGGTGGACTCTGCCCCAGTGTAGCTTGGTACCATGCCTGTGGCAGCTGGCAGCCTGGTGGACAGAGGAGGAGGCCCCGGGGGTCCCAGCCACGCCGCCATGCGTGGTCCTGGCTGTTAGTTCCTTGAGGTGCTGGTGCTCCCTGTTTGGGTCGGCCTGGGCCAGCTTGTGCTAATGCCAAGGATGACAGAGAATGTCCTAGCGCGTGGCAGAGACCACACCCACTTGTACCCACTTGGTGGGTCTCCTGCCCGCCCCTGTGGGAATTGCAGCTCCAGGGAGGGCTCCTGGGGACATGGTGCCTTCCAGGGGGGCTGGCCACACTCACGTCTCATTCCTTTACCCTGGCAGGGACTGCCCGGAGCCCCAGGACTCAAGGTCAGTAAGGAAGCAGTCCCTGGCCCCTTATGACCCATGCCACCCCCAGACAGCTGATTGGACTGGGAGGACCACCCAGGCTCTGCAGCCACCCACATCCATGGCTCCCAGCCGTGTCCAGCCCCCGGGCTGCAGGTGCCCCCTGGGGCGTTGGGGGAAGCCCAGCTGTTAGGGAGCTGCTCCTGCGGCTGCCCGTCACCCAACTGGACCCTGTGCTCAGAGCTTGGGGCACCAGAGATGTATCCTAGCCGATGAGGGGGGACTGGCATGGGCAGTGCCCTGGGTAGCCACCCTGTACCCCTCAGAATCTCTATCCTACTTAGGGGGACCCTGGAGCAGATGGGAGACCAGGGCCCAAGGTAAGCTCCTTTGTAGCATTCTGGAGTCAAGGTGGGGGAGGGGAGGGTCCCTTAGCCCTGTAAGGGGGTGCAGCTGGTCAGGGGGTGCCCACGGCTCAGAGCCCACCTTGTCTCTCACAGTTGAAGACCCTGCCCATCCTTGCTGAGTCCCGTGCAGATCTCTGGGGCACACCCGGTCCCCCACCTGCCCCCTACCTCTTGTCCTTGCTTGCCCACAGCCTCCCCTCCAGTGCTCAGAGCCCCTGACCACCGGACACCGGGGCCGTGGGGTCATGTCCATGAGCACCGTGGCTGCCTCCTGGGCTCGTGTGGCTGATGCTACTTCCTGTCTTTTCAGGGAGAAGTCGGTGCAGATGGCGCCCCTGGCTTCCCAGGCCTCCCCGGGAGAGATGGCGCTTTGGGACCCCCGGTGAGTGGGTGCCAAGATGGCTGAGACCCCAAGGGGCTCCCCAGGGCTGACTCCTTCACCCCCACATCTTCCCTGTATCTGGGGTCTCCTGAGGGGAGGTTCCAGCTCCATTTCTGACAAACTAGTTCCCTCCTGTCTCTGCAGGGACCCAAGGGAGAAAAGGGAATCCAGGGAGAGAAAGTAAGTGGGGGCCTGGGGGGGTGGGGGGCCCTGGGGGAGACTGGGGGAAGTGGAGGGGCCTGGGGGGGTGGTTTGAGGGCCCTGGGAAGACTGGGGGGAGTGGGGGTGCCTGGGGTGGTGGGGGGCCCTGGGGAAGACTGGGGGGAGTGGAGGGGCCTGAGGTGTTAGAGGGCCCTGGGGGAGACTGGGGGGAGTGGAGGGGCCTGGGGGGGCGGTTTGAGGGCCCTGGGAAGACTGGGGGGAGTGGAGGGGCCTGGGGTGGTAGGGGGCCCTGGGGAAGACTGGGGGGAGTGGAGGGGCCTGAGGGAAACTGGGGGGACTGGGCGACCTGGGGGCCTGAGGGAGGTCTGGGCAGGCTGGGGGAGTTGGGGGGCCTGGGGCAGACTAGGGGTAGGGGGTGGGAGCAGTGCTGTCCACTCTATGCTCTCCTGCCAGCCATGTGGCCCCAGAGCTGGGCCCTGAGACCCCCAGTCAGCCGCAGGGCTCCAAGCTGGAATGCAGTGTGGCTGGGAAGGTCTCCAGAACCTGTGGGGTCCTGGCCAGAACTGGGCTGACAAGTGCTTTGTCTCGCAGGGAGACCCCGGGAAGGATGGGGTAGGGCAGCCGGGCCTGCCCGGGCCCCCTGGACCCCCCGGGCCTGTCGTCTACCTGTCGGAGCAGGATGTAAGGACGCTGCGGTGGGCACTGGCGGAGGGTGGGTGGTGACCCTCAACCACACGGCCCCGATGCCCACGCTCTTGGGGGTGGAATGGTCGGCCACGGCAGGATGTGTGACCTGCCGGCGGAGTTCCGCCTCCCACCCCTCCAGGCAGGCACAGAAGCCATAGGGTGGATGTGCAGCCGCCAGCCCCAGGGGCCTCTGTGTCACATCAGGCCCTGCTGCTCGTGCGCAGGGTGCGTGGAGGGCAGGCAGGCGGCAGAGTTGCGTGGGCGCCGCCAGGATGTGACTTGGCCCTGGCCTGGGGGCTTCCTGCAGCGGGACATGGGGCATCTTTAAATGTGACTATTTCTTCCTCCTTTCTGCCGGGCTGCCACCAGCGAACTGTGATGGGCCGGCCAGGACCTGAGGTGCGTGCCCCACCCCCGCCCGAGACCCCGGGTCTGGGCCTTCCAGCCACCCCAAGGGCACAGTGACGTGAACCCTCTTGTCTGTCCTCTCTCCACAGGGCCAGCCTGGCTTCGCAGGCCTTCCTGTAAGTAGGCCCACATGGGAGCTGCCCCTTGCCCCCCATCCCTGCACCGAGAGTTTGGGGAGCTGGGGAGGGCGTTCCTTCTGTCTTTGTGGGACCCATGTAGAGCTGAAGTGGCCCTAGGATAGGGGATGCCACTAGAAGCCCCTGCTGGCCCAGCCAGAGCCAGGTGGCCCCTGGGGTCTGCCCCAGGGCAGGGACTGGTCAGGGTTGTGGGTGAAGGACAGCCCTGTGCTCTGATTGGCCATGGCGTCAGCCGGGGTGGAGGAGAGGGTGTGCGGTCAGGGCCACAGATCAGACAGGCCCCCCACCCTTCCCTGACTCACTCACAGGGACCTGCTGGACCGAAGGGCGACCTGGGCTCCAAAGGCGAGCAGGGCCTGCCAGGACCCAAGGTGAGTGTGGCAGGGGCAGGCTCTCCCAGGAGGGCGCTGGTCCCTGCGAGGGGCCTCATGCGCTGGAACCCCTGTGCCTGCCATTCCAGGGTGAGAAGGGTGAGCCTGGCAGCATCTTCAGCCCCGACGGCAGAGCCCTGGCCCCCGCCCAGAAAGGAGCCAAGGTGAGGAGAGTGAGGGGCCGGGCCCGTGAGACCACAACAGTCAGGGGCCGGGCGCGTGAGGCGGTGAGGGAGCCAGGGGCTGGGCGCGTGAGGTGGTGCGGGAACCGGGGCCGGGCGCGTGAGGCGGTGAGGGAGCCAGGGGCCGGGCGCGTGAGGCGGTGAGGGAGCCAGGGGCCGGGCGCGTGAGGTGGTGAGGGAGCCAGGGGCTGGGTGCGTGAGGCGGTGAGGGAGCCAGGGGCTGGGTGCGTGAGGCGGTGAGGGAGCCAGGGGCTGGGTGCGTGAGGCCGCAGCCAGGGTCTAGGCCTTGTCCTCCCCCAGGGGGTGCTGGAAGCTTCTATAGCCAGGATCCAGATGGCCCCTCTCTGCCCACCTCTGACAGTCACACTCAGAGACTGGGTCCAGTGCCCACTCTGCCTGGCCCTCAGCTACCTGAAGGGGCCAGGTTGTTGCCTACATCCTTCCTCTCTTGGGGTCTGTACTCCATGTGCTGACCTGGACACAGACCCCAGCCTAGAACCTTCTCTGTGGCGCCCCTTATCCTCCACTGTTGGGAGATGGAGAGGGCGGGGCCTCATGCTCTGCTTGTTTCCTACAGGGCGAGCCTGGCTTCCGTGGACCCCCGGTGAGTAGGCCCCTCATGTCCTTTGGGCTAGGGCCACCCTGGTGGGCTAGCTGCAAGGGCTCTGCACTGCCCTGCAGCACATTGACCACCCTCGGGTGGTCCCCATTGTGGGGCCCCAGTGGCCACTGCTCACCCAGGCTCCTCCCTGCAGGGCCCGTACGGACGTCCTGGTCACAAGGGCGAGATTGGCTTCCCTGGACGGCCGGTGAGCTTGGGGGTGTGTGGGGGGCGGTCCAGCTGAGGGGACATTCCAGGCCTTTCCTGGGGGCGGAGGCCACGGGTCCTGCCCTTGTGCCCAAGTTTCTGCAGGGCAGGAGCCCAGGGAACCCACAGTCTATTGTGTGCCCTGCCCCAGGGACGCCCCGGGATGAACGGGCTGAAAGGAGAAAAGGGCGAGCCGGGAGACGTGAGCGTCGGGTTTGGAATGAGGGTGAGTGTCCGGCCGGGCAGAAGGCGGGCTCCTGCAGCTCCACCATGGGGGCTGACCGAGAAGCCCACGTGTGGCCATGCCAGGCAGTGTCCGTGTGTGTCCACACCCCCAGTGTGTGCGCCCTCTGTGAGTGCGTGTGTGTACACCCTCAGTGTCCGTGTGTGTACACCCTCAGTGTCCGTGTGTGTACACCCTCAGTGTCCGTGTGTGTACACCCTCAGTGTCCGTGTGTGTACACCCTCAGTGTCCGTGTGTACATGCCTCAGTGTCCGTGTGTGTACACCCTCAGTGTCCGTGTGTGTACACCCTCAGTGTCCGTGTGTGTACACCCTCAGTGTGTGCGCCCTCTGTGAGCGCGTGTGTATACACCCTCAGTGTCCGAGTGTGTACATGCCTCAGTGTCCGTGTGTACATGCCTCAGTGTCCGTGTGTGTACACCCTCAGTGTCCGAGTGTTTACATGCCTCAGTGTCCGAGTGTGTACACCCTCAGTGTCCGAGTGTTTACATGCCTCAGTGTCCGTGTGTACACCCTCAGTGTCCATGTGTGTACATGCCTCAGTGTCCGTGTGTGTACACCCTCAGTGTCCGTGTGTGTACACCCTCAGTGTCCGTGTGTGTACACCCTCAGTGTCCGAGTGTGTTCATGCCTCAGTGTCCATGTGTGTACACCCTCAGTGTCCGTGTGTGTACACCCTCAGTGTCCGTGTGTGTACACCCTCAGTGTCCGAGTGTTTACATGCCTCAGTGTCCATGTGTGTGTGCACCCTCAGTGTCCGTGTGTGTACACCCTCAGTGTCCGTGTGTGTGCACCCTCAGTGTCCGTGTGTGTACATGCCTCAGTGTCCGAGTGTGTACACCCTCAGTGTCCGAGTGTTTACATGCCTCAGTGTCCGTGTGTGTACACCCTCAGTGTCCGTGTGTGTTCATGCCTCAGTGTCCGTGTGTGTACACCCTCAGTGTCCGAGTGTGTTCATGCCTCAGTGTCCGTGTGTGTACATGCCTCAGTGTCCGTGTGTGTACATGCCTCAGTGTCCGTGTGTGTGCACCCTCAGTGTCCGTGTGTGTGCACCCTCAGTGTCCGTGTGTGTACACCCTCAGTGTCCGTGTGTGTACACCCTCAGTGTCCGTGTGTACATGCCTCAGTGTCCGTGTGTGTACACCCTCAGTGTCCGTGTGTACACCCTCAGTGTCCGTGTGTACACCCTCAGTGTCCGTGTGTGTACATGCCTCAGTGTCCGTGTGTGTACATGCCTCAGTGTCCATGTGTGTACATGCCTCAGTGTCCGAGTGTGTACACCCTCAGTGTCCAAGTGTTTACATGCCTCAGTGTCCGTGTGTACACCCTCAGTGTCCATGTGTGTACATGCCTCAGTGCCCGTGTGTGTACACCCTCAGTGTCCGTGTGTGTGCACCCTCAGTGTCCGTGTGTGTACATGCCTCAGTGTCCGAGTGTGTACACCCTCAGTGTCCGAGTGTTTACATGCCTCAGTGTCCGTGTGTGTACACCCTCAGTGTCCGTGTGTGTTCATGCCTCAGTGTCCGTGTGTGTACACCCTCAGTGTCCGAGTGTGTTCATGCCTCAGTGTCCGTGTGTGTACATGCCTCAGTGTCCGTGTGTGTACATGCCTCAGTGTCCGTGTGTGTACATGCCTCAGTGTCCGTGTGTGTGCACCCTCAGTGTCCGTGTGTGTGCACCCTCAGTGTCCGTGTGTGTACACCCTCAGTGTCCGTGTGTGTACACCCTCAGTGTCCGTGTGTACATGCCTCAGTGTCCGTGTGTGTACACCCTCAGTGTCCGTGTGTACACCCTCAGTGTCCGTGTGTACACCCTCAGTGTCCGTGTGTGTACATGCCTCAGTGTCCGTGTGTGTACATGCCTCAGTGTCCATGTGTGTACATGCCTCAGTGTCCGAGTGTGTACACCCTCAGTGTCCAAGTGTTTACATGCCTCAGTGTCCGTGTGTACACCCTCAGTGTCCATGTGTGTACATGCCTCAGTGCCCGTGTGTGTACACCCTCAGTGTCCGTGTGTGTGCACACTCAGTGTCCGTGTGTGTACACCCTCAGTGTCCGAGTGTTTACATGCCTCAGTGTCCGTGTGTGTACACCCTCAGTGTCCGTGTGTGTACATGCCTCAGTGTCCGTGTGTGTACACCCTCAGTGTCCGTGTGTGTACACCCTCAGTGTCCGTGTGTGTACACCCTCAGTGTCCGTGTGTGTACACCCTCAGTGTCCGAGTGTGTACATGCCTCAATGTCCATGTGTGTGCACACTCAGTGTGTACATGCCTCAGTGTGTGCCCTCTGTGCACGTGTGTGGCTGCATACACAGTGTATGTACACCCACATGTACAGCTACACACGTGTAGGCACACACATAACCGCAGCCCACCAGGACCAGGGTATTTGAAGTGTTTCTCCTGCTGTGGCTCCCCTCACCCCGTGAGGTGGCTCTGCTCCCCTTGCCCCTCTGCTCCCCTCACCCCGTGAGGCGGCTCTGCTCCCCTTGCCCCTCTGCTCCCCTCACCCCTCTGCTCCCCTCACCCCGTGAGGCGGCTCTGCTCCCCTCGCCCCCCTGCTCCCCTCACCCCATGAGGCGGCTCTGCTCCCCTCGCCCCTCTGCTCCCCTCGCCCTGTGAGGCGGTGCTGCTCCCACCATGTGGTGTCATCTCACTGGCTGAGAGCTGGGCTCAGGGCAGGCCTCACTTAGGTATAAGGGCAGGTGCGATCGCCGTGCCCTCAGGAGCAGGCTCCTCTCTGGGGCCCCTGCCAGGCAGCTGCTGTTGCTGAGTGCCGGGACCGGCAGTGGTGCTGGCCAGTGGCTCCAGTCCTGACACCTCCAGTCCTGGCTTCGCACTGCCCATCCAGCTTGAGCTGGTCCTCAGGCGGGCGGCCATCCTTGAGCATGCTGCCAGCGCCGGAGGAACCCACACAGGCCAACGCCCTTTTGTAGTGGGGAGTTCCACGGCTGTCCAGGAACCCCCATCTGGGTGCTCAGGGACTACGTCCGCCTGCCATTTTCTGTCAAGGACCTTCGGCTCCATGGCTGAGTGATGCTTCCAGCCACGTGAGCCACCGGCCTGGGTCAGGCGCCTGCTGTGACCCTGCCTAAGCCCACTTCCCACCTCCCACAGGGACCGCCTGGCCCCCCAGGCCCCCCGGGACCGCCAGGCCCACCCGGGACGCCCGTCTATGACAGCAACGTGAGTCATCGTGTTCCCCTCCCCGTGCCATCTGTGGTCCTGGGGGAGGGGCTGTCGGGCAACTGCATGGGGCAGTGGCTGAGAACAGGGACCCTCAACAGCAGGGGCTGGGCAGGGCAGCTCTAGGGGCTGTGTCCTATTCACACGGAGTGCCTGGGCCCAGGGGGCAGGGCTGAGAGGGCATCGCCACGGGCCCAGTAAGGTGAGGCGGCCCTAGGGGCAGGTGACCAGGGCTCCTTACCCCAGTCCACATTCCCCACTCCTATGTCGGGTAAGGTAGAGGAGGGGTGCCAGTGCCCAGTGTGGGGGAAGGGTACCAGTGGGGCCTGTGTGTTAGCCCCATGCCTCTCCCGGCAGGTGTTCGCCGAGTCCAGCCACCCCGGGCCTCCAGGACTGCCAGGTGAGGGCTGCGGGCCTGGGTGCCCCACGGTGGGGACCAGGAGCCACAGACTCTACCGCATGTCTGCCCTGTGCTCGGGCCTCACCCTGGCCCTGTCTCCCAGCCACAGGATCCCCCCACCCCTGCCAGCTGCCTTCTCTTCCCTGGGCCACTGCTCCTACTGGCTCCGGCCCCTCGTCCATCCCTCGCTCTCCCTGGGCCAGTCCCACCCCATTACCCAGCACCCCTCGGGGTGAGAGGGCCCACGTCGACCACTCCATGAAGGGCACAGAGTCTCTCCCTGCAGGCCTCCAAGGACCCCCAGGACCCAAGGGTGACAAGGGAGAAGTAGGACCGCCTGGACCAGCAGGTGAGCCCTGGGTGTGACCCTTGACCTTCGTCTTCCCTGACCACATCCGGGTGGACACCTGGTCGGCCTCATAGCTGGACACAACCCAGCAGGCTGAGATGGGACAGCACCCTGTGCATTGTCCTCAATGTCCCTCCCACCCTCTGGGCTGGTCCCAGAGGGGTCGGCTGAACCCTCTGTCCTCATCTGGGCCCCAGGCACTGACCACGCTGAGGGGACATCTGAGCCCTGCAGGGTCGCAGCCACCGCCTCCCAGGGCAGCAGCAGCATAAACAATACAGCTGGTCCCTAAGGCTGCAGTGGGAGGGCAGTGGGCAGGGAGCAGGTGGATACATGGAAACAGCAGTGATGTGGTGGGGTCAGAGGCCACACCACCCGCGGTCCCCAAGAAAGTAGACATGGATGTGACCGGGGTGGGGGCAGGCACGACTTGAATGAAGGTGAGTGTCTTCTGTCCAGTGTGTGCCTAACCCTTTGAGGCCTTTCCCAAGTGGGTGGGCGGGAGCTCCATGGCGAGACCCCAGCCCCTGTCCCACTCTCCCTCTGCAGGGCAGTTCCCCTTTGACTTCATTCAACTGGAGGCCGAGATGAAGGTGCGTGACGTCATGGTCAGACCCAAGACGGGTGGAGAGAGGAGGGCAAGCAACCCAGGTCCCAGAAGTCCGTGGCGGGCAGCAGGCACCTGGCAGGTGCGTGGCACTGGGCAGCTGGACAGCCTTGTCAAACCAGTGTCTCCACCCCCAGGGCACGAAGGGCGACCGAGGCGCCCCGGGACAGAAAGGCGAGAGAGGCGAGCCTGGGGCCGGCGGCTTCTTTGGCTCCAGTGTGCCTGGTCCCCCGGGGCCCCCTGGCCCCCAGGGCTACCCCGGGATTCCGGTAAGATTGGTGCTGGCCAGCCTGAAGCCCGTGGGGCCGGCCCACAGATACCCCAAGCAAGGGCAGTCCTGCTCAGCCACCTGGGGTATACCTGGAGAGGGGTGGGGAGGTCTGAGTGGGGCTCTCCCAGGGTGCCAGCCCACACCTGTCAGGGACTTGGCAGGCATGCCAACCCCCTGCCTGGGCTCCTGCACCCCATGCAGCCTGCTTTGCCCTTGTTCTTAGGGTCCCAAGGGAGACAGCATCCGGGGCCCGCCAGGCCCCCCTGGGCCTCAGGGCCCCCCTGGCATCGGCTACGAGGGACGGCAAGGCCCTCCTGGCCCCCCCGGACCCCCTGGTCCCCCCTCCTTTCCTGGCCCTTACAGGCAAAGTAAGTTGCTGTGAGTGCCGGGGGGCCTCCCTACCCCCACACACCCGGGAATCCTGCTGGGCCTGACCATTTCTCTCCCACAGCTGTCAGCATTCCCGGCCCCCCTGGCCCGCCGGGACCCCCAGGACCCCCTGGAACTGGGGGTGCCTCCTCAGGGGTAAGTGTCTTGGGGCTGAAGGAGGGGATGGCCAGGGCCAGGCCTGAGAGTTGAGTGACAGGTCTGGGGCTTCCTTGCCTCAGGCAGTCCTGGGGCCCACACAAGGTTGTGCCCTGCAGGTGAGGGTGTGGGCCACCTACCAGACCCTGCTGGACAAGGTCCGCGAAGTGCCCGAGGGCTGGCTCCTCTTTGTGGCCGAGACGGAGGAGCTCTACGTCCGTGTGCGCAATGGGTTCCGGAAAGTTCTGGTGAGTGCCAGCAGCCTGGCAGGGGTGACACTGGGCTGTCAGAGAGCTGCGGCAGCGGTGGGGCTGTCACAGGTGTCCACTTCTGCCCTGCGAGGTGCCTGACTCCTAGGTGTCCCCGGCTCTAGCATGCAGAGGCCACTGTGGACAGCATCGGAGTCACTCGGGCGGGGCCTCATTCCAGGGGCACACCTGCTGCTTGACCCTGCACCCCCAGAGCAGCCCCGGGCTCCAGGTGGAGGTTCTGCACACCCTGCCAGCCTCCGTCAGTACCGGAGGCCTCCCTCCCTGGCCCCTGCACATTCCCACCAACCCCTTACCTGGCCAGGCCAGCATAGGGCTGTGTCTGAGAGCCAGGCGTGCGGCCGTGAGCTGCCAGGGTGGGAGCACTTGGGCAGGCAGCAGAAAGCCCTGGCCACTTGGAGCTCACCCAGTGACCCTGCCCTCTCCTTCCAGCTGGGGCCACGGACGCCACTTCCCCACGGGACGGTAAGGATGTCAGGGGCAAGGAGGGAGGAGGGGGGCAGCTGCCCCAGCCCTGGCCTGTTCTCCTTACTGGTTCCCACTGCACCCCTCCCCCCCCACACACACCCTCCTGTGGTTGATCTAGGAACAGGACGGGGCTGGGATCTGACCCTGAGAGTGGGCAGGGGCTCCTGGGACAGGCCCAGGTCACCCTAACCCCAGGAGTGGGTGCAGCTCCCTGCTTGCTGTCCGCCAAGCACTCCAGGGAGCCAGCAGGCTCAGGCGGAATGCCACTATGTCCATGGGCTCCCCGGCTGCTCCCTCCACAGGACAACGAGGTGGCCGCCCTACAGCCCCCAGTGGTGCAGCTGTATGAGGGCAACCCGCACCCCCGGCGGGAGCAGGTCCACTCCACAGTGCGGCCCTGGCGAGCTGACGACATCCTGGCCAACCCCCCATACCTGCCAGACCCCCGGCCCTACCCCGGAGCCCCTCGCCACGGCTCCTACACGCACCTACAGCCCGCCCGCCCCACGGCCTCACCTGAACACACCCACCAGGACTTCCGGCCGGTGGTGAGTTCCCACAGTGGACGCAGGTCGTCCCGGCCCCTCTGCCCTCTGGGCCATCAGGCCCAGGCAGAGGACAGTGAGCACATCTCAGGAGGGCAGCCAGGCCAGCTGGACCCAGCCTCTCACAGGGTGGGGTGTCAGGAGCACACACGGGGTCACCTCCTGGGCCCACAGCCCCCAGCCCACCCCTGCTGCCCCTGGGCTGGGGGTCTGTGCCCTGCTCACGGGGGCTGGGTGGGCTGTGTGCCCCAGCTGGGCTGTGACAGTGGCGCATTTCCTCCCAGCTCCACCTGGTGGCGCTCAACAGCCCCCTCTCGGGTGGCATGCGTGGCATCCGCGGGGCGGACTTCCAGTGCTTCCAGCAGGCGCGGGCAGTGGGGCTGGCCGGCACTTTCCGGGCCTTCCTGTCCTCGCGCCTGCAAGACCTGTACAGCATCGTGCGCCGCTCCGACCGCACGGGCCTGCCCATTGTCAACCTCAAGGTGTGTGGGGAGAATGGGGGCCAGCCAGCCCGGACTCCCCGTGCCCCGCCCCTATGGCCTGACCGCCCTGCTGTGTCCACACAGGACGAGGAGCTGTTCCCCAGCTGGGAGGCCCTGTTCTCGGGCACCCAGGGCCAGCTGAGGCCTGGGGCCCGTATCTTCTCCTTCGACGGCAGGGACGTCCTGCGACACCCAGCCTGGTAGGTGGTGTGGCCCAGAGCCCCCACGAGCTGGCCTGCTTGGCTGTGCCGTGCCCATCCCCAGGCCTGGACTGAGGGTCATGCGATGGGGGCAGCATGGGAGTGGGGCTGTGTGCACATCAGCTCTGATCCTCATGCTAGATGCTGGTGCTGCCCGCCCAGTCTCCAGCTTCCCACAGAGCGGAACAGATGCCTCCCCAGTGGGCTGGTGCTGCTCCAGGGGGCAGGTGTGGCCAGAACCCCAGCCAGGGATGACCACGGGGAGGGACCAGGCTGAGCCCCACCCTCTCACAGTCCCCACCACTCCCAACCTTGCCTGGCCTGGAGTTGGACTGCTGTGGGTGTGGCTGAAAACCAGCTGCCCCTCCACAGGCCCCAGAAGAGCGTGTGGCATGGTTCAGACCCCAGCGGGCGCAGGCTGACCGAGAGCTACTGCGAGACCTGGCGGACAGAGGCGGCAGGGGCCACGGGCCAGGCTTCCTCGCTGCTGGGCGGCCGGCTGCTGGAACAGACGGCGGCTGGCTGCCACAATGCCTACATCGTCCTGTGCATCGAGAACAGCTTCATGACCTCCTCCAAGTAGAGCCTGGGCGGCCTGGCCACTGGCAAGGGGACAGGCAGGGGGGTCCCCGCAGCCCGGGCCTCAGCCGGGGCTCGTCCCCGTGTGGCTCTCATACCGTGTAACCCTCAAGAAATTAAAGACGCCAAAGAGTGTATTTTTTAAAAACCTCCAGAGCGAGCCTGGTGTGAACTTCCCGCAGCTGCAGCCCTGGCTGGGGCAGGTCTCTAGGCTCAGTGTCCCTACAGCCACGCCCAGGACCAAGGTCGTATGTCCACATGGCACAGGCCACCCTGCCACGCAGACTCATACTGGAGCAGAGCTGACCCAGCCAAGGCCCTGGGAAACTGGCCGTTGGGTTGGCTGTCATGCTGGTCCCTGCCTGGGCTCCCCACAAGAGCCTGGCCCTGTGTACCCAGGTGCCTGGACTGTTCACGCTTGGGGCCGGTGTGAGGTGACCCTGTATAAACCTAACCTGGTCTGCACACTGCACTGTTTGAGAAGGGGGTGGGCATCCCCTAGGTGCCCCAGGCACCTGTCACGCCATCAAGACTCACGCAAGCTCTGCCCCTCACCCCAGACCCAGCACACAGGTGCTCACCACAGAAGGTGCCCACAGGCCCTGACCCCCTGGGGCCACACAGCCCAATGAGGGGAGGGGGCATGAGGGAATGGGAGTCCCAGGAAGGCCCTGCCCTAGTGGCTGGCAAGGGGGGTGTCCCAGGAAAAGGCATCCTAGACCCAAGGGGGCAGTGGGCTGGCATGGGCCTGGCCACAGTAGCTGTGACACAGGACCCCACATGTGGCAGCTTCCTCCTTGACCCAGGGACACTGGAGGGTCACAGTACAAGGGGCTTGGCCCACCCTGGATCCCCCACTGGGAGTGTGTTGAGTGTGGCACCTCCCCCTGCCAGGGCCACAGCTGGGCATGTACAGTCAGAGGGCAGCCAGTCCAGCCCCTTGGCAAAGGGCACGCCTCAGCCCAGGGAGGCCGGAGCAGCGCCCAGTCACTGGGAACGGGAAAAGGCTTGGGGCATGGGGTATGGGACCTGCCTCCTAACAGAGGAGTCCAGTGTGTTCCTGGTTTTATTTAAAAAGACCAGCATGTCGTTCAAGTCGGTACCCGAGGATGTCACGGTTTAGTCATGGTCTCCGGGGCCTGTGCCGAAGTGCCCTGGGCTGGGCTCCATGCAGCGGCAGCCCCGTACGAGGCCAGCCTGTGGCCTCCGGAGGGGCTACAGGAATGTCCTTCCCAGCAAGGGCTCCCTGGTGCCTGGCCAGAGTTGGCCAGGGCCGCCTGCACTGCAGGGAGAGACTGTTCTACAGCTGAGAGTGGGCTGGAGTGTCCCAGAGGGTCAGGCCTTGACCTCACACATGTCCATGCTCCGCTCGGTCCTTGGGGAGCAGGGGCGGGGCAGTGTCCAGCACGCATGGTCCTTGTGGTGGTTTCTCCGGGCTCTGCAGCTCCTGGGCCAGGGGCACCGGTTGGTGGCGGCCATGTGCCACAGGAAGTCCAGCAGGGCCCCTAAGCTGTAGGCGACGGTCAGCACCAGGAAGTACCCGAAGTACACTTTGAACTGCAAGAGAGTGGCCAGGCGGGGGGCTGAGACGCGGCTGCTTCAGCCGTCACTGCCCTGGGCGGCCGCAGACTCCCAGGAGGACCCACGAGGGCGAGCAGAATCCCCAGCGAGCTCAACCTCACACGAAGTACACTCCCCCCCCCCCCCCCCCCCCGTGACCCCACCAGCTCCGGATGGCAGAGCTCCCAGGTGGCGCTCCAGGTCTGGGGCTGGGCCCACGCAACGCAGCACCAACGCAGGACCCTTCCTGAGTTGAGGGAGAGGCACCCCACCGCCTTCGCCAGGCTGCAGGGAGGACACTGCTGGCAGGGCTGGGCTCACCGCAGGGAGGCAGAGATGCATCGCAAAGCCACACGCTGCTCCACACAGAGCAGGTGAACAGGAGCCCTAGACAGACGGCACGGGAGGTCGCGGGGGGCGGCACGGGAGGTCAGCGGGGGCACTCCAGACCTGCTGGTCTGGGTGCCGAGAAACCAGGACAAGCCCACAGCGCCACAGCCTTCCCCACCGCGTGGCTCATCCATGGAAACTGCTACAGGGACACGCTACTGGTTCGTGGGTGAGATGCCACCTCCAGGAGGGAGGGACAGTCAAGGTGCTGGGAGACGAGGCTGTCCCAGCAGATCTGCCAGAAATCGTGGCGGTTCTCTGAACAGAGAAGTCGTGCCAGAGGAAGGACCCGTGCAGCACAAGCCGTGCTGGGACCAGTGTTGGGTGCCATGGCCACACGTGCCTGCCCCACACACGGGGGATGCCCAAGAACGCCATGAGGGGATGAAACCAAAAAGTGACACCATGGTGCTGAACAAGGCGCTCCATGCAGCGTTTCCATGAGCGCTCGGCTGAGCCCTGGGATGGCCAAGGTCGGCCTCGGCAAGCTAGTGTCTGAGCCAGAACCAGACCCAGGCACCCCACTGCTTTCCAGAACCTTCTAACACACCTTTGTCCCACGCGCCAGGGAAGACACGGTGACATCAAATGAGGCAGTATTTCTATATTGCAGATTTCAGGAAACACCAGACGCAGCCACAGGAAATGCACGCCAGGCACGCCACCGTGACACAGGACAGAGGACACGCACCCAACACACACACACCACCCCACACTGCAGCACAGGCAAAAGAAAGGGAAAGACAAATGGCCAACCTGGGCCCTGGAGCCTACTGCGTTAAGCGACAGGACGGGAGTCCGGGAGTGGGCCTCAAGGCCATGCTCTCAGAATAACAAACCAGCGGCAGGAGGAAGGTGGGGGAGTCATCATGGGTCACAGAAATCAGAAAGTAACCCGAAACTCAGCCAAGGGAGATGGTGCTGACTGCTGCCTGTGTGGCTGCGAGAGCCTCCAGCCAGTCACCACAGCTCTCTCTCGAGAACCTTCTAGAAAGTACCAGAAACAAGGAAACCAAGCTGCTGCCTGTGCACTGCAGCAGGAAAGGACCATAGAGCCACATGGCCTGCACATGACAGGGGTGCCCACCTGGGGGCCCGAAGGAACCTACCACGGCCTGCGCATGACGGGGGTGCCCACCTGGGGGCCCGAAGGAACCTACCACGGCCTGCGCATGACGGGGGTGCCCACCTGGGGGCCCGAAGGAACCTACCACGGCCTGCGCATGACGGGGTGCCCACCTGGGGGCCCGAAGGAACCTACAAAATCCTGCCAAGGTAAAGCAGTGAGCATGGCCAGATTGCTAGACCACATGGACACAGTTGGCCACATGGGAGCGTTAACCAAGTGGACACAGCTGAGCACACGAGCACACACCCACTTCTGTGGACCTGGCCCCGCGGGTGCACAGTGGGCCTTAAGGAAGCCCACAGTGGACACCTGTGGAACCGAGGATCGGGGGTCCTGGACTGGTCGGCTCCCCGGGGACTGCAGGATAGTGAGCCAGCGTGAGCTGCCCACTGGCACAGCCATGGCTGACACAGACCCAGGATACACAGCCACACTCCCCACGCCAAGCTGCTCCAGGCACAGCCAAGGCCACAGACTGCGGGCAACACTGCACCCACCTGCCAAGGCCGACGCTGGCTCCAGGGCAAACCCATGAGATGCCTACAGGAACTGCGTGCCACCCCGTGGGAGACCTGCATGGAGCTCCCAGCTGCTGGCTGCAGACCGGCCCAGCCTGGCTACCCTGAGCATCCAGGCAGTGACCTGCAGATGGAAGACGCCCGAGTCTCTCCGCCATTCCAACAGCTAAATAAACTCAAAGCATCGGGAAGAGTTCTCAGGCTCCACACCGTATCATGAGCCACCAGCCAGATCTGAATCCAGTGGGGGAACCCCAGCCAGAGAACAAAGCCCACCCGTAGAGAGAAGTTTCCAGAACACAGAGGCGGACCTCGGAGAGATGAGAGGCAGGGGGGCGGCATGCGCCTCTCCAGGCCAGCAGCTCCGCCTCGACTTCCCACCCAGCTCCCACCAGCGGGCGAGGAGGCGGCGAAGACAGCTTGGGGCCGGGGCTCCTGCACCCACAGAGGGACCCGGATGGAGCTGCTGCCCAGGCCTGGCCACTGCAGCCATTCAGAGTGAATTAATGAATGGAAGAGTTCTCGCCCCCTCTCACCACCCGCCCCCACCAGACACTGTCCTACAATTAAATACGATTTCTCACAAGAAACCAACGGGAGATGAGAGGCAGCAAGTCCCTAAAGATTCCCCATGAAGACAGGAGCCCTTGGAGAGTGTAGGGGTGGGGCACACAGGCGCAGGGCCACCGGGCTGCAGACACACTGGGGTACATATAGAGGTGCAGGGACGCATGTACTGGGGGCACGGAGGGCAGCTGTGCTCCCTGCACGGTCTCAGTGCCCACTTCTGGGCTTGGCCAAGGCATCGCAAGGGCAGTGATCAGGACGCTGGGCCAGCCCCTCTCGCCTGCCAGCTGTCCAGTATGCTTGGCTTCCCACGGGATCAAGCACTGACCCAGCCCAGGTGAAGGCCCCAACGCCTGGCACAGGCTGAGGACGGGGAAGGGCTGACCACCCCCTGAGGAAGACCACCCCCAGGGATAGCCCCTTGGGTCCCTGGCAGCCACTGGCCTCAGGCGGACATGGCAGTCACAGGCCCACACAGGCTGGCCCTCCAGTGTCCTCAGAGTAGCCAGCCCACTACAGGTGCCTGCCAGGTGGACAAGACTGTCTCACCTGGCTGCAGACACCTGCACCCCCTGGTGGCCAGATGGGCAGTGGTGGGCCAGTTGCCACACCCCTCTGTGCTCCCACCTGCTGGCTGCAGCAGCCCTGACCCGACCTCACTGACCCTGCAGGGGTGCATACCAGGGACCCAGAGGCCCACGCCTGGGCCCCGGTGGGCAGCATGAGATGGTGCCTGGCCAGGCAAAGGCGCAGTCATAGCTTATCTACCCAGTGCCCAGGTCAAACCCCATTCATCCTCACTGGCCCAGCGTGGTCCAGCATGGCCCACAGGGCAACCCTGCCCACTTCGACCTGCCTGTAGCTGGGTTCAGGTTGGACGGGCATTGGGAGGCCCTGCAGGCCCAAGGCAGACACTCCCTGATGGGAGACCGGGGGTCTCTCCTCCCTGACGGAGACCACAGGGCCCACCTGCTCATGCACTTGCAGCCCGAGGCCGCGCTTGTCGGAGACGACGAGGGTGATAAGCGTCTTCAGGATGGTGGCCAGGAACGTGTTAATGCCGAAGAACAGGGCGCAGAGCTCCTTGGAGAGTGCGGATGCAATCTGGAACCTGGGCAGGAAGGAGGGACAGTCAGCATCCTGCAGGACAGCAGCCAAGGCAGACAGACACACCTGGAGACACACTGAGCATGCTGTGAAATCCAACCCTGGGACCCACTGGGCAGCTGCTCCACTTCCCATCCAGCTCCCTGTTGATGCGCCTGGGAAAGCAGCGGGGGGCTGCCCAAGTCCTCAGTGGCCCTGCACCCATGCGGGAGACCCAGAGGAAGCTCTGGGTTCCTGGCTATGCCCTGGTCCAGCCCTGGACAGGACCTGGGCTCATGTGAGGATTAAACAAGAGATGAGCTCTGTGGCAGGTGGAGGGTGAGAGGGGGTGGGGGAGGCCCTAGGAGGCACAGCACTCCTGAAACAACCCAGGCACTAGAGGGTTAACCTCCCATCCCAGCCTGCCACGGAGTAGAGCCAAGGCCACTGTGGGACAAACACGCAAGCATCAGAGATCAGCAAGGAGAAGCAGGGCTGAGGTGGCTGGCTATTCTCAAGGTAAACAGGGAGGGAGGCCAGGCCTGCAGAATCCCCGGGAGACAAGCCAGAGGTTCCAAGGAGCCCAGGGTAGGAAGCAAGCACCTGTGTGGGGGGTATGTGTGCGGTGACGGAGTGTGTATGTACGATGGCTGTGGTGTGTGTATGTAGTGATGGCTGTGTGGTATGTGTGTGTAGTGGTGTTTGTGTGGTATGTGTGTAGTAATGGCTGTTGTGTGTGTGTAGTGATGGCTGTGGTATGTGTGTAGCAATGGCTGTGGTGTGTGTGTAGTGGTGTTTGTGTGGTGTCTGTGTAGTGATGGCTGTGGTGTCTGTAGTGGTGGTTGTATGTGTGTATGTAGTGGTGGTTGTGTGGTGTGTGTATGTAGTGGTGGTTGTATGTGTGTGTATGTAGTGGTGGTTATGTGGTGTGTGTGTAGTGGTGGTTGTGTGGTGTGTGTATGTAGTGGTGGTTGTGTGGTGTGTATGTAGTGGTGGTTGTGTGGTGTGTGTATGTAGTGGTGGTTGTGTGGTGTGTGTAGTGGTGGTTGTGTGGTGTGTATGTAGTGGTGGTTGTGTGGTGTGTGTGTAGTGGTGGTTGTGTGGTGTGCAGTAGTGGTGGTTGTATGTGTGTGTATGTAGTGGTGGTTGTATGTGTGTGTATGTAGTGGTGGTTGTGTGGTGTGTGTATGTAGTGGTGGTTGTATGTGTGTGTATGTAGTGGTGGTTACGTGGTGTGTATGTAGTGGTGGTTGTGTGGTGTGCAGTAGTGGTGGTTGTATGTGTGTATGTAGTGATGACTGTGGTGTGTGTGTGGTGTGGTGGTTGTGTGGTGTGTGTGTAGTGGTGGTTGTGTGGTGTGCAGTAGTGGTGGTTGTGTGGTGTGTATGTAGTGGTGGTTGTGTGGTGTGTGTGTAGTGGTGGTTGTGTGGTGTGTATGTAGTGGTGTTTGTGTGTATATAGTGCTGGTTGTGTTGTGTGTATGTAGTGGTGGTTACGTGGTGTGTATGTAGTGGTGGTTACGTGGTGTGTATGTAGTGGTGGTTGTGTGGTGTGTGTATGTAGTGGTGGTTGTATGTGTGTATGTAGTGGTGTTTGTGTGGTGTGTATGTAGTGGTGGTTGTGTGGTGTGTGTATGTAGTGATGACTGTGGTGTGTGTGTAGTGGTGGCTGTGGTGTGTGTAGTGGTGGTTGTGTGGTGTGTGCATGTACTGGTGGCTGTGGTGTGTTTATATGTAGGTGACAGGTGCGCACACATGCTCCATGAGCCTGCATGCCTCTCCCTTCAGGGCCTCAGGGGCACATGTATGTGGCCTGTGGCACCAAGCCCAGGGTGCCAGGTGAGAGGAGAGCCAGGGGGTCTGGGAACGCACGACAGGGCAGCCCCCGTCAGCTGCTGGATGGCCCCGGGTGGAGACAGGTCCCTGGCACCTGGGCAGAGGGCAGCCGGGACCTGGATCGGGTCAAAGTGGGGTGTGGTGGGACGGGACCTTCAGAAGGCCCTTCTGTACTCACGTGGCAATGGGCACCAGGAACTGGTAGGCCCCGCGGAACAGCACAAACGTGCCATAGCAGAGCCAGATGTTGTAGGTGTTCATCATGAGGCAGATGAGCCCCGCCTGAAAACCCGTGACACCCGCGATCACCAGCTTCGCCCACAGGGCCCAGCGGATCTTCAGGAAGCCGGCAGCGAAGGACGTGGCGGCCCCTGAGGGGAGGCGGGACTCAGCACCCGGCGGGGCGGAGGGCAGGCGCTGGGGCGAGGGGAGCCCGGGGGGCAGCCGCCCCACGTACCCAGCAGCGTGGAGGTGGCGTCGGCAGCGCCGTTGTAGCTGTGGGTAACGCCGGTGAGCCGGTCAACCTCGTTCCACCAGATGTGCGCGTAGTAGACGATGAGGTAGTAGCCGGCCGAGTTGAAGATCCACCACAGGGACCAGAGGCGAAGCTGCGGCTGCCGCAGGCCGGTTCCCAGCTCCCGCAGCATGCGCACCAGCACGCAGTCCTGGAAGGCCACCAGGGCCCGTTCCAGCTTGCCCCCCGCCCGTGGGCCTGGGCCGGGGCACATCTGGGCCAGCTCTGCAGGTGTGGCCGCACAGGCGGGCGCCGGTCGGTGGAAGAAGAGGCTGCGCCGGGGCCGCTTGAGGAAGAGGGCGAGGACCAGGCTGAAGACGAGGAAGGCCAGCGAGATGCTGTTGAGCATGCTGAAGGTGACCCGGCCCACGGTGACCAGCAGCTGGCCCAGCACGGAGCTGGTGAAGACGCCCAGCAGCACAGCGGTCCGCGAGTAGCCGGCCATGCGCTGGTAGCGGGCGGGGCTGACCAGGGAGAAGATGTAGGAGGAGTAGGCGACACGGGCGGCCATGGTCACGCCGTAGAAGAGCTCCATGAGCTGCATGTGCAGGACCGAGCGGCCCAGCAGCAGCAGCAGCCACACGCTGATGAAGCTGAGCACCTGCAGCACCAGCACCGGCGTGTAGCGCAGCAGGTCCGTCAGCAGGAAGACCGGCACCAGCACCGCCATGTACGAGTACGACAGCACGGGCAGGATCTCGTTGGTGACCTGCGGCGGGGAGGGCGGCCGTGAGCGGCGCGTGGTGCCTGGGGCAGCGCTCTGTCCTGGCAGCCTCCCCCGTGCCTCCCCGGGATGCCTGCTTCGGGGAGCGGCATGCAGCTGCAGGACTGGCCTGTAGAAGACCAAGCACCCAGGGCCTGGAAAGAGGCTATGACAGAATCTCCGTGGACAGCTGGGAACTCAGAGGGACAGCACGGCCAGGTCAAAGGCAGCTGGCTGTGTGCATGGGGTCAGCAGAAAGGGACTCAGCAAGGGCCAGCTGCCCAGGTGGGGCATGCCACAGGGCGGGGGCAGCTCTGCATTGCTCCGGCCAGGGGTGGCATCTCTGCCACAGCACACACCATAGCTAGGCTCCATCCCAAACAGCCCCAGGGCCAGGGGAGGGGGACTCACAGTTGCAGGGGCAGCGTGGGGCACCTGGGCTGCGGCCTAGACCTGCTCAGTGTGGGGCGCCTGGGCGGCAGCCTGGAGCTGCTCACAGTGCGAGGCACCTGGGCCACGTCCTAGATCCGCTCACAGTGCGGGGCGCCTGGGCCACGCCCTGGACGTGGTCCCCACTCCAACTACAGCTCACCTGGGGGGCAGCTGGCTCTGGCCGGGCCCGGCCCTGGCTGCGTTTGGAGGACAGAAGATGTCTTGTGTTTTAAGTAACACGGAGAGCGATTATTAAAGCAGGTCGTAAGGGACGGTCTCATCTCTGCCACGCACGTGGAGCCACCCAGCCCCGGGGCAGAGCGGCCTGACAGGCACCACCGCCTGCGTCTGGGGCAGCTGGAGCACTCCCTGGGGGTCAGCAGCCAACTCCAGCCCAGGTCAGCTGGACCCTGGCCCACCTCAAGTCTTCTGGAACATTCCTTGAACCAGGCCCCTGGACAGGAATGCGGCCCGCACAGGTCCAGCCCTGCCTACCCCTCAGTCCTGCAGAGCTGCTGGAAGGTACATGGCAAGATGCCACGGCCAGGGGCCTCCTCGGCACCCCAGGCCTTGCTGGGAAATGACCTGGCTGAGCTGGGCAGGGCCGGCACGGTCACACTGCATCACGGGGGCTGCCACTCGACTCCACAGCTCCAGTGGCGAGGGGGAGAAGCTGAGCCCCGGCCAGCACAGGCTGGGGGCAGGGGCGTCTGAGTGGGTGGGCTGCAGGCACAGCTTGCCCGCACACTGCTTCATGGGGACACAGCCAGGCCAGGAAGGACCCCCTCCAAGGGTGCCTGGCCCCGCTGCCCCCACAGAACATTGCTGACCTGTTTGTTCTAAGGCCTCCTCAGGACCCTCTGTCCTTCCAAGCAACAAAAAGCAAAATCTAATAACCCGCCGAGGCAGAGAGCTGCCAAGTCCCTGCTGGACGCCACGGCTGGCCCAGGACTGTCACCGGCACAGCTGGGCAGCGGGCCTGAGGAGTGGGGGTGGGGAGGCGTCCCCAGTCGACACCCCCCCGCGCCAGCGAGGACCCACGAGCCCGCTGCCGGGGCACAGGGCCCAGCCCGACGTACGTGCCTGCGCCCGCGTGAAGTTCTTGTCGGGCCCCAGCAGGTAGGGCGTGATGAAGCTCTCCCCGGGCCGCATCTGCGCCATGAAGCCGTAGAGACACAGGTAGAGCACCAGACACCGCCAGGACCGCAGCTCGCGGCTCAGCTCGGGCTCGGGCTCGGCGTCCGACTTGGGGTCCAGCTCAGGGTCTGTCTTGGCGTCCTCGCTGGATGGCGCCATGCTGCTTGAGGCCCCGGGCGGTGCCAAGGGGCATGCGTGAGCCGGTCCACCTGGAAGGAAGGGCACAGTCAGGAAGGCCACAGGCCCCAGCCCACGTGTCCCAGCTGGACCGAGGCCAGGCTGGCACCGCCTCGGGGTCTCTGAAGCCACCAAGGGGGAGCTGGAGCGCTCAGGAAGCCAGATCAGCTCACTGAACTCATCAAACAGATCCACAGGATAAAACCTCCAGTGTGGGCGGGAAAGGCCCGGGTGCAGCAGCAGCAGCCGGCCGGGGCCTCTGGGCAGCAGGTCCTGCACCGGAGCTCAGGGAGCCTGGCTACACGGCTGAGGAAGCCGGGGTCAGCAGTGAGGGCTGGGCATGCAAGCCACACACAGGGGTCCACACTGCAGAGGAAGCCAGAAGGGCCCTGTGGGGACCAACAGCACCCAGGATGGGACAGGCTCCGGCAGGGATGACAGAGCACAGGTCCTGGCGGAACCCAGGGGCCCTGGGCCCAGGAGGCGGCAGAGAGAGAACCAGCCAGACGCCTGGGCTGGGAGGCAGAGCTGGCATCCCAAAGCAACTGAACGTCCAAGGCTGGCAAAGGCAAGGCCCCCGTGACTTCCTGGGGCCCACCTTGTCCCCCAGCTGCGTGTCCACTGGCCTGCCCAGGGACTCACATGCCAGCAGGCCAGGGTGGGCAGAGGCACAACCATCGAGGGAGCAATCTGCTGTTGAAATACCCCTTCCACGACAGGAGGCTGTGTGCCAGGCTCGCAGGTAAGGCCCAGCAAAATGCAACATGTCAGGTGTCCGCCTCAATTCAGGGCGTCAGGCCTGCCCAGGACAGGCAGTACTGACTGCTCCAGACCCATCCAAGCTGGCAAAGCTCCTGCCCCATGTGGCCCAGGTACCCCACGTGAGAGGGAGCCCCTAGGACCGCCATACCAGGCCCCTACCGGCCTGCCCCATGTGGCCCAGGTACCCCACATGAGAGGGAGCCCCTAGGACCGCCATACCAGGCCCCTACCGGCCCGCCCCATGTGGCCCAGGTACCCCACATGGGAGGGAGCCCCCAGGACTGCCAGGCCCCTGCTGGCCCGCCCTCCGCAGGCTCAGTGTTGAAAACCAGGAGCAAGAAGGGATGCTGCAGTAAGCAGGAGATGGGGCAGGGTCCTGGGGCAGGGTCCTGGGGCAGGGTCCTGGGCAGGGTCCTGGGGCAGGGTCCTGGGCAGGGTCCTGGGGCAGGGTCCTGGGCAGGGTCCTGGGGCAGGGTCCTGGGCGGGGTCCTGGGCAGGGTCCTGGGGCAGGGTCCTGGGCGGGGTCCTGGGGCAGGGTCCTGGGGAGGGTCCTGGGCGGGGTCCTGGGCAGGGTCCTGGGGCAGGGTCCTGGGCGGGGTCCTGGGCAGGGTCCTGGGCAGGGTCCTGGGGCAGGGTCCTGGGGCAGGGTCCTGGGCGGGGTCCTGGGCAGGGTCCTGGGCAGGGTCCTGGGGCAGGGTCCTGGGCAGGGTCCTGGGGCAGGGTCCTGGGTGGGGTCCTGGGCGGGGTCCTGGGCAGGGTCCTGGGCAGGGTCCTGGGGCAGGGTCCTGGGGCAGGGTCCTGGGCAGGGTCCTGGGCAGCCCTGCAGAGGACTCTCAGGGCCAGCCGCACGCCATCCACTCGGCTTGGGGTGACAGCGGGGGAGTTCCCTGCTCCGTGTGCCCGCCCTGACCACAGTAGGACTGGGAACAGTTAGGTTGCCGCCCTCCAGCTGCCCCCAGAGGGTAGTGGCCACACCTGGGGAGGACGGCTCTGCCCAGTGCCTGCAGACTAGAGCTGGCCTGGGCACGGGTCCAGACCCCTGGGAGCAGCAGGGACCGGCTGCTCAGGAGCACCCAGGAGCCTCACTGCCTCCCAGCTGACCCATCCTGAGCCAGCCCTTCCGCCTCGGGAGGGCTTGGACTCTCACAGGCACTCAGCTGGCCTCCTCTGGGGCTGCACAGGGCCCTGCCCGCCCAGGGGTGTGGGTGCCTGCAGGCTCCCAGCTGCTGTACGAGCAGGGTCAGGCCTCCCACAGACAGCAAGCACCAATGAAAACCTGGCGGGCAGGGCAGGGGCAGCCATGGACCCCCCCCAGGACCAAGCACAGTCTCCAACCACCCTCCTGGGGAGCAGGTATAGGACGCAAGGGAGGGAGGCCTGTCGGATTGGAGCAGGGCAGCAGAGGTGGACCCCAAGCTGAACGTGCACCTCCCCCCCTCCCCCCTCCTCATCTCTCTGGGCACCCCCTCCCCCCTCCCCATCTCTCAGGGCAGGTTTGAAGCTGCCAAGGCCAGCTTCCCTGCCAGGAGTCAGCTCCACACACAAGCAACAAAACCCAGGGTGGAAAGATGCCCCCTAGGCTGCTCAGGATGGAAGCAAGCGCTGCCCTGGTCAGCAGAACAGGTGCACCGCCCCCTCCCGCCCCACCTGCAAAGAACTTGAAGCCAACTCCTCCACTCTGCGGCTGGCCCCCCGCCAGCTCTCCGGGCAGCCCTGACACCCCACCGGCCACACTGGGATGGACCCTGGGTCCTGTGCTCCTGGTCACCTGATCCCACCGAGTGAGCAGGCAGGGGGTCAGACTGGTATCTCCCACCACCCTCTCTGGCAACTGCCCCCCTACTCATGGCCTTGGGGAGGGCCAGGGCCAGCTGCTGACCAACGCAAGCAGCACCCTCCCCTCGGGGCACGGGCTGAGAGGTTCCGGAGCGCTCAGAACACCGGGAGAAGGAATGCAAGCGGCCCGGCCCCAATTCCGAACCCGGGGCTCGGGCCAGCGAAGCCCCCTCCCCCCCAGAGCCCGGGCCAGCGAAGCCCCCTCCCCCCAGTGAGTTACAGCCACCGTAGCAAGGAAAGCAAGCCGCGATGCGAACCCAAACGTGGCGCGGCTCCCTGGCCGCCAGCGCCGGGCAGCAGGCGAGACGCCATTCGGGCTCCGGGCTGCAGGAGGGCGGGCGCCCGCCTTTCGGGAGCTCGGGGGGCAGCTCCGAGGCCTGTACCCCGCCCCTGCCGAGAAGGCGGGGTCCACGCACAGCCGGCCGCCGAGGGCGGGCTGAGTCCGCGGGCACGGGCGGGGGCACCGGCCACGTGAGGACCGCGTGGTGCCCTCCGAGCCGCCTTCCGCGCGGCGCGCACCGCTAGCCGGCTTTCCCACGCGGGCGCGTGGGCGGCCCCGGAACGCGGCGTGGCGCCAGGAACGTGGCCCGGAGGAAGTCGTTCTGCTGCCGACAGAGCCCCGCCCGGGGCGCGCTGGACCCGCGCCCGGCTCGGCACGCGCCCCCCGCCGCCGGCGGCCCGGGCGGAGGGGAGCGCACCCGGGGAGCGCACCGGGGGAGCCCGCACCGGGGGAGCCCGCACCGGGGGAGCGCACCGGAGGAGCGCACCGGGGGAGCCCGCACCGGGGGAGCCCGCACCGGGGCAGCCTCCGCGCTGCGCCCCCAGCCCGCGCCCGGCCTGGACGCGGGGTCTCGGCGCCCTGCGGACCCCGCCGAGCGCGCGCCCGGGCATCCCGCCACGCCGGCCCCGTACCTGGACTCCTGCAGGCGGCCGCCCCGGCGGACTACAGGAACCAGAAGGCGGCGCGGCGGGCGCGCGGTCGGCCGGGACGGGGGCGGGGACTCGGCCGCGTCCTCTCGGCGCCCCCGCGCTGGCCCGCCCTCCGCGGGGAGCTCGGGTGGGAGCCCCGGGGCCTGCAGGCCGCGTCCTCCGGCCGCCCTGGCCTGTCCTGCAGCTGTCCCTCGGGTCTCTGGCCTCTGCCCCGCTGGGCGTCCAGGGCGGACTGTGGCCGGCCGGGGTGGTGGCCCGGGAGCTGCAGGAGGCGGGGCGGGCCTGGAGGGGATCAGGTACTTGTGGGGGAGGGGAGCCTGTGGAGAAGTGGGTTAGAGTTGGGAAAGTCTTAGCAGCCTGCAGTGTGCACGGAGTCACAGGATTCCGTTTCTAGAAGTTTGTAGAATGCCTGCGCCCAGCCCTTGGGCTGTGGGTTGTGCGGCTCCGCCTCCACGGCGCAGCAGGTGCTGGCGCCCCGAGCTCCTCCGAGCCTCCAGGGGACAGGAGGCAGGGAGCTCAGTCAGTGGAAGGACGTGCTGATCTGCCCCTGTGGGACTCCAACAGTGACCCGGGACTGACCCCACCATCCCAGACCCCGTGCCACCTTGAAAGTCTGCTGACCTAGCACTACCGTAAACCTCCTAGGTCTCAGCCCCCTGAGCACCTGCTGACCCAGCACTACCTCCTAGGTGGGTCTCAGCCCCCTCAAGGCCCACTAGCCTAATTCAGTTAGTGACCTTCAGGTTTAAACTGTGCACTCACCAGTCCCCTGGGCATTTATCCCTGGCGTCCCCTACAGCCGCACCTGCCAGTCCCTGCGCTGGCACTCCCCACACCCACCTCCAGGCTGGAAAGGTGCCCTGCCCTTTGTTCCCGCTCCCTCCTCCTGTGTCTCTCTCTCAGTCTCTGTGTGTGTCTCTCTATCTCTGTATCCCTGTCTCTGTCTCTCTCCCACCCTCCCTGTCTCAGTTTTCTGCTGTCTCTTTCTGTGTGTCTCTCTCTCGCTCTCTCTCTTCTCTGCTCTCTCTCTCATCGTGTGCTCTGTCTCTGTCTCCCTCCCTCCCTCTCTCTCAGCTCTTCCTCTGCTCTGCTCCTTGTCTCCCATCTCGTGCTCTGTCTCTCTCTGTCTCTGTCTCTCTGTCTCTCTCTCAGCTCTTCTCCTCTGTTCTGCTCTCTCTCTTTCTGTCTCTCTCTCTTCCTGCTTTCTCTCTGCTCTGCTCCTTGTCTCCCATCTCGTGCTCTGTCTCTCTCTCTCAGCTCTTCTCCTCTGCTCTGCTCTGTCTCTGTCTGTCTGTCTGTCTCTCTCTCAGCTCTTCTCCTCTGCTCTGCTCTGTCTCTCTCTGTCTGTCTGTCTCTCTCTCTCTCTCTGTCTCTCTATGTCTCTCTCTGTCTCCCTGCTTTCTCTCTGCTCTGCTCACTGTCCCCCTGGCCCACACTACCTCCCTCGCTGACGGGAAGCCCGTCGTGTGGCTCAGTTGCTGTGTCTGGCGTCTTGGGTTTGTG